TGGTTCAAAATTGTGAGAAAAAAAAAAACACATAACACTGGATAAATTTACTCATGAGCTATTCCAAGATAAAAAAAACAAAGTTTTTAGTAATGTCACAATTTTAAATTAAGTTATATTGTGTTTGCCATAATGTCAACCACCCATTTATATGGTAATGTATAGATCTACCTGGTACCCACACTAATGTGTACCTATCCACACTAATTACATGTACCTCCCTTCAGAAAGGATTCATACCCCTTCACTTATTCCACATTTTGTTGCGTTACAGGCTAAATTCAAAATGGATTAAATCTGTTTTCTCTCACCCATCTACACACAATATCCCCTAATGACAAAGTCAAAACATGTTTTTAGAAATGTTTGCAAATGAATTGCAAATGAAATACAAATATATCTAATTTACATAAGTATTCACGCCCATGAGTCAATACATGTTAGAATCACCTTTGGCAGCGATTACAGCTGTAAGTCTCTAAGAACTTTGCATTGTACAATATTTGCACATTATTCTTTCAAAATTCTTCAAGCTCTGTCAAGTTGGTTGTCAATTGCAGGTCAGCCATTTTCAAGTCTTGTCATAGATTTTCAAGCCGATTTACATCAAAACTGTAACTAGGTCATACAGGAACATTCAATGTCATCTTGGTAAGCAACTCCAGTGTATATTTGGCCTTGTGTTTTAGGTTATTGTTCTGCTGAAAGGTGAATTTATCTCCCAGTGTCTGTTAGAAAGCAGACTGAACCAGGTTTTCCTTCAGGATTTTGCCTGTGCTTAGCTCTATTCCGTTTATTTTTATCCACAAAAAAACCCTAGTCCTTGCAGATGACAAGCATAACCCATAACATGATGCAGCCACCACCATTCTAGAAAATATCAAGAGTGGTACTCAGTGATGTGTTGGATTTGCCCCAAACACAACACTTTGTATTTAGGTCATTAAGTTAATTTCTTTGCCACATTTTTTAGCAGTTTTACTTTAGTGCCTTATTGCAAACAGGATGCATGTTTTGGAATATGTATATTCTGTACAGGCTTCCTTCTTTTCACTCTGTCATTTAGGTTAGTATTGTGTAAACTCTGTAACTGTTTTCAAGTCACAGTTGGCCTCATGGTGAAATCCCTGAGCGGTTTCCTTCCTCTCCGGCAACTGAGTTAGGAAGGACGCCTGTATCTTTGTAGTGACTGGGTGTATTGATGAACTATCCAACGTGTAATTAATAACTTCACCATGCTCAAAGGGGTATTCAATATCTGCTTAAAAATATATATATATAAATATATATATACCAATAGGTGCCCTTCTTTGCAAGGCATTGGAAAACCTCCTTGGTCTTTGTGGTTGAATCTGTGTTTGAAATGTACTGCTCAACTGAGGGACCTTACAGGTAAAGTGTGGGGTACAAAGGGATAGAGAGGTGAGGTAGTCATTAAAAAATCATGTTAAACACTATTACTGCACACAGTGTGACGAGTCCATGAAACTTATTATGTGACTTGTGAAGCAGATTTTTACGCTTGAACTTATTTAGGCTTGCCAAAACAAAGGGTCGAATACTTATTGACTCAAGACATTTCAGCTTTACATTTTTAAACTAAAGTTACTTTGAAAAAGTAGTTCACTACATCCAAACTACTTTGTGAAAAATTATCATATCTAAACCTGATATGTCATAGATTACACATTTCAAGAACAGATCACTCTGGAATCAGATGATAACAGAATGTGTAATTTAGCTTAAACGGAAAAACAATGTTTCAAGTGAGAATTAGGCAGATCTGATGCCGAAAAAGAAAGGAAATTCTTGTCTATTTCATCCATCTTTTATTTTAGCTAAAAGAGTAGAGTGTAGTTCCAGTAGTTAGCTACATCATTACATGGCAACAAAGTAATGAACTACTAAAAACACCACCAAGATTAGAATTGAGTTAAACTACCACCAAGCTACTGAAAACACTACCAAGATTAGAATTGAGTTAAACTACCACCAAGCTGCTGAAAAATGTAGTTGAATTACTAGTTGAACTACATGTAGTACACTACTCCCCAACACTGTTTGTAGTTGAAGGTATTATAGCTGTTGTAATTAGCATACCAGCCATGCTGTTACTGAATGAGCTGTGGGTCAGGGTGCTGCAGTGCTTATCTTTCAGATCAGTACATGTTCCATGATTCAACATTTAGTTCATTATAAGGGAACTATTATCAAACTATGAACAGCTATTCAACAACAATTAAAGGGCAATTGATTGTGTATTCAGTCGAAACCAAACATGTCAGCTGTATATGAACAGGATTGAGAAATGATGTCTTCATTTTGTTTTCTTTCAGTAGAATATATTAGGCTTTGTGGTAAGAACCTAAATATGCAGCTATAGGAGGTGTGAACTGTAGCAGTGGCGGGGACTTCCTGAGCCTTTGCAACTGAACATGTGACTTTGAGGTCAAGCCATTTCCTCCTGCAGCAACCCTTTGCAGAGTGTCCCCTTAAATTACAAGTACAAATTGTATGACACTCACATTTGAGTGACAAATGCATCTGAGACAAGCTTGAAGATTTGTATCCACGATTCTGAGTATGGTAAGAGAACATCATGTATTCCCTGTTTCAGTCATTTCCTGCGTATTTTTGATAGCTTTTTTTTCTCTTCATATTCAATGTATCTTCATTAAAAGATTAAACATGATGTATGATGGTCTACCAAAAACATGTTAGTCTTCAGAAAAACGTCACTGTTTTACTGATGCGCACTCCGCAGTCAGTATAAGTACAGGTCTACAGTTTGTCTAGAGACGGGGTGATTTTTGATTTATGGAGAAGGTGACAAAAGGTGCAACCAAAAATCACAAGAGCATTCTGGAAGGAGTAGGCACGACTCTCACTCAAAACGTGACGTTTAAAACATGAATTCGAAAATAGAACAACAGGTTTTTAATGTGAAGCGAGAGGCGTGCCTATTCCTTCCAAGTCATTTCAAATCAAGTTGTATTTGTAACATGCTTCGTTAACAACAGATGTAGACTAACAATGAAATGCTTGCGGTCCTTCCCAACAATGCAGAGAGAAAAATAGAAAGATTATAGAAAGATAATAACACAAGGAATAAATATACAATGAGTAACGATAACTTGGCTATATACACGGGGTACCAGTACCGAGTCGATCTGCAGGGGTACGAGGTAATTGAGGTAGATATGTACATTTAGGTAGGGATAAAGTGCCTAGGCAAAATGATAGATGAGTATGTGATGAATCAAAAGAGAGTCCAAAAAGTGGTCAGTAAAGATAGTGTGGGTAGTCTGGGTGAAACTGCTTCATGCCAGTTTCAACCAGCCTCATAGATGAAGCTGTTGGAATGCATGCCACAAGGTTCATGGTCGAAAAGTATTCAGGAAGAACAAGGGTTAAAAAAAAAAAAAAAAAACTGCCATACTTGTTTGCCATCAAACTTGTTTGCCATCAAACTTGTTTGCCATCTGATTGTCAAAGAACAGTCTGTGCAGTACTTGTTTCACACACATGAAACCAGTCCTGTGAGGCTGACCTCACTTTTGACATTTCCAGTAAAAAAAACTAGAACCTAAGACTGCTTACTTCTTCATTTTAGCGTTGGACGTACATCTGTTGTGACTGGACTACCTACTTCTTCATATTTTTGGGAGAATTGTTTACTTTGGTTAAAATATCGAATTAAAAGGTAACAGTCTTTAAAGACTGCAGAACTATGTTTGAGTGATTTCTGTTTTTGAGTGGTTCCTTGCGTCAGAGGCTATGTGGGAAGGCTCACACACAGATCCATATCACTGTTCCATTTCCGGAGATATTTATCCAACAGGTTTTGGAGTATGGGTCATAGCAGATTTGTTGCTGCTCAGTTGAAGCTTATTACATAGAAGCAAACCTTTCATTTACTTTAAAGCAAGTTTACCCTTATGGAAAACATGTAATGTGATAACATGTAAAGCAACATGTTTTCACATGTGATCACGTGAAGTGTTCCAAAAACACATGTTTTCACATGACTTCACGTGAAATTTCACGTGAAAGCATGTGATTTTCCACATGTGAAATCATGTGGTTTTTCTGTAAGGGTAGTTTACGATCTGTCTGTATTAACCAATTTGGCTTATTTCCAGTGTTGTACAACCTTTGGCCTCAAATTGAATCTGTCAAGTTGAACCTGTTTTGCTCCAAAATTATTTTATAGCCTACGTAGCTATGTAAGGTCTTAGAGAAGTCACAGAAGGACGCAATATTGTCTGTATATGGTCACGCGGGTCACATGATGTTAAAACAAGCAAATGGGGGTTGAGAGACTTATCAGAGCAGTAAGGGAAGGTTAAAGGTCAACTGAGACAACACAGTGACTTTGGATTCACCATACATGTTCCAGGACTGGGTAGACCCTGACATTATTGAGACTGGGTGAGATATTAGAACTACACATATTTACATTCAGATTCTGATCCGCTCAAGCATGTGCCTGTGACTGTGCCCTCGACAAGGAAGAAAACAAATGATTTTGCGTGAGCTGAGGTAGATCATTGAACAATCTGAGAGATAAGGTAGCCGTTACGGGCCCCTTGTTATTCTACTGTGAATCCAGTTAGTTGTAAATCAGTAGAGTACACTGTATCTCCATGAATGAGGGTAAATACCACCACTACACAGGATTGGATATGCAAACCGTAAGTATACCTGAGCATTGGCACTAATCATTGTTTGGAAATGGGGAAGAAAGTTGACTTAACAACATACTAATTGGCAGTTGCTGCTGGGAATTTTTTTGAATGCTTGCGCAATCAAGTTATCGTGTTACTCAGAAATGGGGAAGTGTGCCTCATACAAAAACATGCCATGACAGCATTCCAGATTTAGAAAGTACAAAATGGTGTTGAACAGTTTTCTAGTAAGAAGAAGTTGTTTGGGTCCTCTTGGTCGTAATCTGACCTGTGGACTTTTAACAGGGTGATGTTCTGGATTAGGCCAGCACCATGGAGACACTCGGTAGCAAGAGAGAGATGGCATTTCGATCCCGAAGCTCTTCCCAGGCAATAGGGGCTTCGACACTGAGCTCTTCCCAGGCAATAGGGACTCCGGCCCTGAGGAATTTCACCATTCCTAGGAGGAAGAGGGGAGATGGAAAAGGTATGAGAGACAAATAATCACATTCAAAACCCATGTTAATATAATCTGAACAATATAATCTCAACAAGCATGATAGCTCATAAAGTATGTGCCACTCCCTACAATGCTTTTAGCACTTGAAAAAGTGTGATATAAATTCAATTTATTATCAACAATAACAATAATGATAAAACTATTGATTTGTGAATAAAAATTGAGTGTTTTGACAATTATTTTTGCTGGATTGCTGAATTACATGTAGTCCTGTCCGTTTGCATCTCTTTTTGACCAGCTCTTTTGGATCCCTGCCTCAAAGAGAGCAGGGACTATAGTCTGATACAATCAACTCTGAACGAGTCCCGATTGGACATGGGCAAGGAGATATCCCTCAGCTTGCAGTGGGATGATGTCACGCTAATACACAACGAGGAGCTTCTGCGACAGTTCTCTGAAAAAAGGTGACAGTCAACATGTTGTTCAATGGCGTTAGTGCATCTCTACACAAGAACTGCATGCATGTACTATATGCATATATACCTCTGTACTGAAATATGATATGAATATGTATATCAGTTGAGGCTGCTGTGGGGAGGAAACCTCATAATAATGGCTGGAATGGAATCAAACATATGTGGTTGATACCATTCCATTGACTCCATTCCAGCGATTACTATGAGCCGTCCTCCCCTCAGCAGCCTCCACTGATGTATATTATGGTATGTGTAGAAAATATGCAGAAGTATGAGTAGGTGTCGGGACTGCATCGTGTACTGTGTGAAACCCTCGGAGGACTGAAAAACTATCTAATATCCTGTTTTATCGCTTTGTTATCATCCTCTAAAGAGGGTGTTGTTATCCCCTGTCAAGTAAAGAGGGTGTTGTTATCCCCTGTCAAGTAAAGAGGGTGTTGTTATCCCCTGTCAAGTAAAGAGGGTGTTGTTATCCCCTGTCAAGTAAAGAGGGTGTTGTTATCCCCTGTCAAGTAAAGAGGGTGTTGTTATCCCCTGTCAAGTAAAGAGGGTGTTGTTATCCCCTGTCAAGTAAAGAGGGTGTTGTTATCCCCTGTCAAGTAAAGAGGGTGTTGTAATCCCCTGTCAAGTAAAGAGGGTGTTGTTATCCCCTGTCAAGTAAAGAGGGTGTTGTTATCCCCTGTCAAGTAAAGAGGGTGTTGTTATCCCCTGTCAAGTAAAGAGGGTGTTGTAATCCCCTGTCAAGTAAAGAGGGTGTTGTTATCCCCTATCAAGTAAAGAGGGTGTTGTAATCACCTATCAAGTAAAGAGGGTGTTGTTAGCCCCTGTCAAGTAAAGAGGGTGTTGTGATCCCCTATCAAGTAAAGAGGGTGTTGTTATCCCCTATCGAGTGTTCTCTTTGAAGTTGAAGTATGCCTGTGTGTGGAAATTGCACATTAATAATTTCCTAGTTTTACCAATTATCTTTTTATGTCTACTTTGCAGCATCTCTAAATTGCCTAATGAGGGGATCACTTATATATGTAGAGTTGGTGTTTTTCATTTCAGGACAGTGTGTGAATCACATAACCCTGTCGACCTGTAATTTGCTCCATATACAAGCATTTCGCTACATTCGCAATAACATCTGCTAAAAATGTGTATGTGACCAATAACATTTGATTTGATTTGATGTCCCTATTTCTCAGATCTGAAATGCGTTTAAAGGATAGACACGTCAGAGAAATGGAGGAGAGGTTCTGTTTTTTAGTCACCTCTGACCAAAAAGCGAAACATATTTATGAACACGGACTGAAGGTTGAGAACACGGACCAACACGCTCTGGGAAACGCGTCATATGGAGTCTATTTGCACAGGCATGCTGATGTGGCCCTGAAAAATATCAGCGGCAACACACCTGCTGGAAAAATCCTCATAATTTTCAAGGTTAGATGAAAATAGTTGTCAAAATGATAATTGTTGTTATTTCTATTCATTAAGGAAGTAAAACATACTTTTCTCCTTTTTTTGTTCTCCATAGGTTCTCTTTGGCAAGGTGAAAAAAGTAACTCCATGTTACGGAAGGAACAGCACACATGATCCAACGGTGAATTACGATTGTCACGTGTCCAAAGACCCCGCTGTCCCTCGGGACACCTTGTCTCAGCAAGTTTTGAGCTCGTCTGTAAGTTAGCACCTTTAGTGGCCTGGTTGGCTGGTCTAGTGTTAAAGCTGCAGCCTCTAGCACACGTCTATGGTGTCAGCATTGGTTAAAATCCCGCTTGCTGCCTTTTGACACAACCTCTCTATCTTTCTGCACTGACATTCTCTATCTTTTATATAATATACACTATATATACAAAAGTATGTGGACACCGCTTCAAATTAGTGGATTGGGCTATTTCAGCCGCGAAATGGTAGGCCACAAAAGCTCACAGAACGTGAGCGTCGAGTGCTGAAGTGAGAAGTGCGTGAAAATCATCTGTCCTCAGTTGTAACACTCACTATCGAGTTCCAAACTGCCTCTGGAAACAACGTCAGCACAAGAACTGTTCGTCGGGAGCTTCATAAAATGGGTTTCCATGCCCGAGCAGCCGCACACAAGCCTAAGATCACCATACGCAATGCCAAGCATCGGCCGGAGTGGTGTAAAGCTTGTCGCTATTGGACTCTGGAGCAGTGGAAACGCGTTCTCTGGAGTGATGAATCATGCTTCACCACCTGGTAGTCAAATGAACTAATCTGAATTTGGCGGATGCCAGGAGAACGCTACCTGCCCGAATGCATAGTGCCAACTGTAAAGTTTGGTGTAGGAGGGATAATGGTCTGGGGCTGTTTTTCATGGTTCGGGCTAGGCCCCTTAGTTCCGGTGAAGGGAAATCTTTACGCAACAGCATACAATTACATTCTAGATGATTCTGTGCTTCCAACTTTTTGGCAACAGTTTGGGTAAGGCCCTTTCCTGTTTCAGCATGACAATGCCCCTGTGCACAAAGCGAGATCCATACAGAAATGGTTTGTTGAGATCGGTATGGAAGAACTTGACAGGCCTGCACAGAGCCCTGACCTCAACCCCATCGAACACCTTTGGGATGAATTGGAATGCCGACTGCGAGCCAGGTCTAATCGCCCAACATCAGTGCCCGACCTCACCAATGCTCTTGTGGCTGAATGGAAGCAAGTCCCTGCAGCAATGTTCCAACATCTAGTGGAAAGCCTTCCCAGATGAGTGGAGGCTGTTATAGTAGCAAAGATGATTTTGGAAGCCCATGATTTTGGAATGAGATGTTCGATGAGCAGGTATCCACATACTTTTGGCCATGTAGTATATATACATACATATACACTACCGGTCAAAAGTTTTAGAACACCTACTCATTCAAGGGTTTTTCTTTATTTTTACTATTTTCTACATTGTAGAATAATAGTGAAGACATCAAAACTATGAAATAACACATATGGAATCATGTAGTAACCAAAAAAGTGTTAAAGAAATGAAAATATATTTTATATTTGAGATTCTTCAAATAGCCACCCTTTGCCTTGATGACAGCTTTGCACACTCTTGGCATTCTCTCAACCAGCTTCACCTGGAATGCTTTTCCAACAGTCTTGAAGGAGTTTCCACATATGCTAAGCACTTGTTGGCTGTTTTTCCTTCACTCTGCGGTCCGACTCATCCCAAACCATCTCAATTGGGTTGAGGTCGGGGGATTGTGGAGGCAGGTCATCTCCTTCTTGGTCAAATAGCCCTTACACAGCCTGGTGGTGTGTTGGGTCATTGTCCTGTTGAAAAACAAATGATAGTCCCACTAAGCCCAAACCTAATGGGAGGCGTATCGCTGCAGAATGCTGGGGTAGCCATGCTGGTTAAGTGTGCCTTGAATTCTAAATAAATCACAGACAGTGTCACCACAAAGCACCCCCACACCTCCTCCTCCATGCTTTACGGTGGAACATACACATGCGGAGATCATCCGTTCACCCACACCACGTCTCACAAAGACACGGCGGTTGGAACCAAAAATCTCCAATTTGGACTCCAGACCAAAGGTCCATTGCTCGTGTTTCTTGGCCCAAGCAAGTCTCTTCTTCTTATTGGTGTCTTTTAGTAGTGGTTTCTTTGCAGAAATTCGACCATGAAGGCCTGATTCACACAGTCCCCTCTGAACAGTTGATGTTGAGATGTGTCCGTTACTTGAACTCTGTGAAGCATTTATTTGGGCTGCAATTTCTGAGGCTGGTAACTCTAATGAACTTATTCTCTGTAGCAGAGTTAACTCTGGGTCTTCCATTCCTGTGGCGGTCCTCATGAGACAGTTTCATCATAGCGCTTGATGGTTTTTGCGACTGTACTTAAAGAAACTTTCAAAGTTCTTGAAATGTTCCGTATTGACTGACCTTCATGTTTTAAAGTAATGATGGACTGTCATTTCAATTTGCTGATTTGAGCTGTTCTTGCCCCCCCCCCCCCCCACACACAACTGATTGCCTCAAACGCATTAAGAAGGAAATAAATTCCACAAATGAACTTTTAAGAAGGCACACCTGTTAATTGAAATGCATTCCAGGTGACTACCTCATTAAGCTGGTTGAGAGAATGCCAAGAGTGTGCAATGCTGTCATCAAATCAAAGGGTGGCTATTTGAAGAATCTCAAATATAAAATATATTTTTCAATTATATTTAACACTTTTTTGGTTACTACATGATTCCATATGTGTTATTTCATAGTTTTGATGTCTTCACTATTATTCTACAATATAGAAAATAGTAAAAATAAAGAAAAACCCTTGAATGAGTAGGTGTTCTAAAACTTTTGACCGGTAGTGTATATGTATATGAGTGTACAAAATATTAGGAACATCTTCCTAATATTGAGTTGCACCCCCTTTTGCCGTCAGAACAGCCTCAATTTGTCAGGGCATGGACTACAAGGTGTCAAAAGCGTTCCGCAGGGATGCTGGCCCATGTTGACTCCAATGCGTCCCACAGACTCCAATGCGTCCCGCAGCAGCATTGCAGTTCTTGACAGACTCAAACCGGTGCTCCTGACACCTACTACCATACCTTGTTCAACGGCACTTAAATATTTTGTCTTGCCCATTCACCCTCTGAATGGCACACATACACAATCCATGTCTCAAGGCTTAAAAATCCTTCTTTAACCTGTCTCCTCCCCTTCATCTACACAGATTGAAGTGGATTTAACAGGTGACACCAATAAGGGATCATAGCTTTCACCTGTATTCACCTGGTCAGTCTATGTCATGGAAAGAGCATGTGTTCCTAATGTTTTGTACACTCTGTGTGTGCATATACAGTACATAAATATATTTTAAAGTTCACTCCTTTAGAGAAAGCTGCTCTTGGTCATGACTTCTTATGTGACCATATGACCATGACTTGACACATTCTCTGTTTACAGGTGTTCCTGTTTGACTACAACGAAAACCAGGAGCTACAATGGAGACCAAGGCAATGTTTGCCATATGCTATGGTTTCATTGGTTCCTGCTGTAAACACTTATCTGACTAGCACTCTAGTTCCATCTGTAAAACTGGGGCCAAAGACAAAGGGTATGGAATTACGATAACCAGATGAAGTGTTTAAATTACTAGGTTCATTCCAGCATATTCATCAGCTGACGATCCATGTTTTATTTTTAATATACACAAACTATAGGCTATGTAGTATTAATAATTGTTTTGTTTCATCCTTCCCAGATTCAGTGGCATGTTTGGAGACCTGCACAGTGGCTCAAAGAGTGGGGAGAGGTCAGAATGCAACTGTGACATTCAAACATTTTGGGACAACTGAAAGTCCAACGCCTGGATACAGATCTCAGGGACTTGGAACAAACCCCCCATTCCAAAGAGCTGATCAACAGAACTTCCAAAACATCCCATCAATCTCAGACCAATTGTATCACAATGGCAGCGACCAACCCCCACCGCCTCCACTACCCATTAGTCCCTGCGACCAACCCCCACCACCTCCACTACCCATTAGTCCTTGCGACCTGCCCCCACCACCTCCACCGCCCATAAGTTCCAGCAACCAGCCCCCATCACCCTTTAGTTCCTGTGTCCAACCTCCACCACCCTGTAGTTCTTGTGTCCAGCCTTCATCACCTTTTAGTTCCTGTGTCCAGCCTCCATCACCCTTTAGTTCCTGTGTCCAGCCTCCACTACCCTTTAGTTCCTGTGTCCAACCTCCATCACCCTTTAGTTCCTGTGTCCAGCCCCCACCGCCTCCACTACCCTTTAGTTCCTGTGTCCAGCCCCCACCGCCTCCACTACCCTTTAGTTCCTGTGTCCAACCTCCATCACCCTTTAGTTCCTGTGTCCAGCCCCCACCGCCTCCACTACCCTTTAGTTCCTGTGTCCAACCTCCACCACCCTTTAGTTCCTGTGTCCAACCTCCATCACCTTTTAGTTCCTGTGTCCAGCCTCCATCACCCTTTAGTTCCTGTGTCCAACCTCCACCACCCTTTAGTTCCTGTGTCCAGCCCCCACCGCCTCCATCAACCTTTAGTTCCTGGACACCTAATTTACCACCACCATTCACTGGTTCAATTTCATTCCTGGAAGACAATGGACTGGTTACTTACCCTATGCATTTACAGATCCCAAGCCATGCTGGAACAGCTCAAATTGACCATAATAAACTCCACTCAGGTAACCAAGTCCTGTCTTGTCAACAAGTTCCAAACACCCTGTCCACGAACCAGGATAACTTACGGCGACAGTCTACATCTGCAACAGGTGCGTTGGAACCGCTCTCTACTATAGTTTATTCTTCACGTGTGATTAAGGATCCCAGATTGTCGGCACGAGAAACTAACAACATCCAGAGATCGATTTCAATGGAGTCAGAGAGAGGTCAACAAACAGGTACCTCTGTCTGCAAATTGACCGTGAAGCCAGAGCATGAGAATCTCCAAGATGTACCAAAGCAGGAGAAAAAGCTCAGGGAAACTGGCATTAAGAATGATCCAAAACCATGCCATCCTGATTCACCAAGAGGTGGTTCTACTACTCCTTTGGAGAATAGTTCAGCTCCTTCCTCTGTGATACCTACAACTGAGAATCAGCCATCAAATAGAATGCTTAAAATGAAGTTCCAGAAGTATTCTCCATATTTTCATCTGACCAAGGAGGAGAGGAAGGAAAAAATTGGTTCTCTACAACATCTGTCATTTGATGAGAAAAATACATTATTAGAGAGAACCAATTTTTATGCTACCTATTTTCAGAAGTCCAGGTGTCTACTCAATCAAAATGACAAGGTCACCACAGCAGACCCTGGGTGGCTATGTAAACCAGGAAGTATAAATATTTGCTTGTCCAGCACAGACACAGTGGAGATGTGCAACAGGGGTGCATACATGCAGCAGCAGGTGAAACAACACAATCTGCCCCAGAACACCACAAATGGTGATCAGAATTCTAAACCTATCCCAGAAATCTCAGCCCATAATCCATCAATTGTCTGTGGGGCTGTGGAGGAAAACGTGGCCCTCCAACTTGAGAGGAACACAGGCATTATGGAACCGGAGGACATAAACCTTTGCAGCCCTGAACCCACCACTACATGTCTCACAGAAACTGAAGAGGATGTGCACAAAATTACTGTGGAACCACAAGATGAAACAGTAATGAAAAATGACTCACAGATTCCATTCCATCCCCAGACTGTAAACCAAACTGCATCCTCTGAAAGCAGGCAGGACACAGAGGTGAGGTCCAATCTTAACTCAGTAACAGAGCAAAAACCTCAGGATGCTCTAAATGCAAACTCTGATGCAAGCAGGCAGAACACAGAGGCAAACTCCAAACCAAATTCAGTAAGAGATGAAAAAAAACAAGACATTGTACCTGTATTCGCTGAGGGAAACAGACAGAGCAGAGAACTGAAGTGTGAACCAATCTTAGCAGAGGAAAATAAAACAAATGCTCTAAATTCAGTGGATGACACAATGGCGAACGAAAACCCCTCAAAACCAAGGTGTCCAGTCATTTATGAGAGCCATATTGAAATCATGAATGCTTGTGAAGAGGTTTGTGGTACGGAAACAGAGGAAGTTATGAGTGCCGAGGTCTTCTGTCCTGGAGTCATGTCAAGGCAAGATTATGAAAGGCTTTTGCAGAAAGACAGAGAATGCTATGGAATTGGCCAACATCAACAAAATGAATCCAATACATTTTCTACCTGTGATGACATAGCTGATAATACTGAGGAATGGCAGGCTGATGATTCAAAAGCCAAAGATACAGTCTACAGTTTCCTGTTTAACAGGCTGCAACTCAGTGAGCTCTTTCTTTCAACTAATCAGAATGGATCAAGCTCAATTTCTGGTAAACATTACCTTAAACCAAAATGCAAAGACAGTCCTATGGACACCAATAAATCACTCCTTCCGTCCTGCAACCCAAACCAAGTAGACATGGGAGAGCGATGTAACCTTCGCATCACAATAAATGCTGATAGAGAATTGTCCTCTGTCACGGAAACACCCTCTCTGTCCAAGAGATTTTCAGTGTCAGAATGCCCTCAAGGAACTCAAGCCTCACCAACTGTACAGGAAAATGAAAAGCTTAGCAACAACAGCATTATCACTGAAAACACACCCATTGAGAGTGTTCTGAAAACGACCACCTACTACACCACTTTCAACAGAGCACAGGCCCGTAATGCCAAACTAATCAAAATGATGGCAGAGAAATACAAAGGGAAGGAAAATGCGTCAGTGAGGATAATGAGAAATCATCAACCTTCAAGAGTGAAGAAGAGATCTATCGTTGAAAAACCCACCACTGACATTCCATACTCAGAAACATCGAGATCTTCCCATAAAGCCATTACAGGTCATATGCAGAAGCCATTTATGCAGAGGGCAAAATACTGTTTGAATGTTCCCCACAAAAATAGGAACTTGAAACAAAAAACTATTTCCCCCAATACGGTCACAAGAAATGCCAGAAAGAAGAAACACAAGTCATGTTATAAATTTAAATCAAAGGTTGCATCTCTCAACATTTCTGTGTCAGACGACTTAAAGACCTCAACGCGAGTTCCCATAAAATCAAGAAAAAGCACTATCATGAAGACCATAACAGATTTTAGGAGAAGAAACCGTTGGGGGACATTCAATCACAACAGAATAAACAGTCAAAGCAACGTGCACAATGCTGCTGTAAAGTCTATATCTTCAGATGATAATGAACTTCTGAGAGGTAATCGTTTCGAGAAGAAACATCTGAAGACACCAACTAGAGAGTTAGAAACAAATATGTCTATGAGAGATGGAAATGAAAAGATCAACGAGGAAAAGCAGGTGGCTGATGCTGTTGACACAACCTTAACTTCGCCGACCATAGACATAGTCAATGAAGAGGCTGCAAAATCTACTTCTGGGAGCACCGCGAGCAACTTTGTAGAAGACCTTCAACACATTGAGGAAGCAAAGGATCGATCTAAAAGCAGAACTTGCAATGAAGGCGAGCCACATGACACAGAAACATCTCAGGAAACCCAGAGCAATTGCACTTCTCCTCAGAACAAATTACCTCCACCGAAATACCCCAATATCGTGGCTATAAGTCAAGACAATGAGGGGATAACTGAGTTTAAAAAACAGGAGGAGGATCTGCTGAAAGAAAAGGCATTACAAGCTGATACACACTCTATCAAAGAGGTGGAAGAGGCCAACAGTGATATGGCGCCTGCTAAAGAGATAATTTCAGCTTCTGAGAACATGGAGTTTCCCTTAGATGCTGCCATCAAGATTATTTGCGGCAGTGAGTTAAATTCAAACACACCCAAACCACAGGAAGAAATGGCTCAGGTTTTGCAGCACAAGTATGGTCAAATGGAGACAGAGAAAGCAGACACATCAGATAGAACACATTACTGCAACCCACTGGAACAAGAAGACCAAATTGACAAACCCTCCAAGGAAGTGAAACTCATTACTAAATTAAGAGATTACTTGACAAATTTTGAGTCCATAGTTAGGAAACCAGAGCCAAAGACATCAGATACACTCTGTGAAACTGCAACGAATTTGCCACAGATTTGTGAAACTCTCCAGAATAATGTCAATGACCATACAGAGCAACCAGTTCCCCTGGTTGTCCTTGACAGGGTGGAGTTGCGCAATCTGAGACCTAATGCAATGCCTTTCCCAATAAAGATATGCACTCCGATTATCAACACAGAGAATGACCTGAATCATAGTAAAGAACAGGAACAAAAGGAGCAAACAAGAGGGAACAATACAAAGTATTATAGCATTCCTTGCATTAGCCCTGATAGCACTTCCATGTTGGAAGTCCCTGAAAAGTCCACTCAAACTCCCATGGACAAGAAAACAACTGAAGCAGAAATCTCCACAGGTGTACCTGACATTAACCATGGGATTACAATTGCAGAAAAGTATGCCTTAAGAGAACAGCAAAGACAGCCAAATTGCACTCTTGATGCAAACAACATGATCATGCTCAAAGCACTAGCAGAATTAGAACCTGAAAATTCTGAATTTTGTCAAACAAAAGAAAAAGACAACCAGAAGCCAACAAGCCACATTGTAAGGTTGAACACTAAGACTTTTCATAGAAACTTCAGTGTGGCTGATATCTCAAACGCACTAAAGCATGGAGACAAAGTAGCTTCCTTTGTTGAACTTTGCCCGTTGCGAACTGAATGCAAAGTCATGATGCAGTACTTCATCTTAAACTTTGAGAAAAAACAGAATGTTGAGGCCAATAGCACTATCGTCTCAAGGGATCAGATTTTAGAGCGATATCTGGACCATCCTCCTGGACCAATGGAACTGAAGTACGAGGCATTGAATTCTTTCCTGGAACTGCAGATAATGATGGAGGCCTGGCAATTTGTAGATAACAAGATGCGATTTTTGAGTGGACAATCTACATTTAGGAGTCTGCTGTGGTACGATCCCACCCTGTATGGGGAACTCTTTAAAGGGAAGGTGGGATTTCAGCAGCAGTCCTCTTTATATTCCTCTTTCCAACAAAGCCTCATCAACGAAGGCCCAATTGCATTGCAGAGGTACCATTTAGCTGTCTCTACATTGAATGAACAGCTGAAAAGGGCCCCAGAAATGTCTTACTACATGTATCTCAAAAGCAAAAGAGAGAGGCTGGAGATTGAGGCTGCATTACGAAATCCCTCAGACATAGAGAGCTTCTTCCTCTCTGTACCACTGTCTTGCATGGTCAATTTTGGCGACAGTGTGGAAAGTTTACAGAGGGTCCAGAGGCTTGTGACGACTTTCACCGAGACTCCTGCAGACAAGTTGGAAGACGGATTTGATGTTGGAAAGGCTGAGCACCTTGCCATGGTGTTCCGATTTCTTCAGGAGAAAATCTACTATTTGAAAGCTTGCAGCAACACGATGGTCAGCAAGATGTCTTGGTTTGGCATGGAACACATCCTGTATGACGCTTCAAAGATACTGGTGTGGAGGGATGCGAAACAGGCTGGGTCAGATGAGCCGCAGGCGAAATACAAGAAAGCAAATCCACAAATTGTCTATGGAGTGACCGAATCTGGTGTCTCACTGTTGCATACAAGCGTGTCAAAGAGGACCCAGCTCATGGTTAAGAAAGGGACCTCAGCACAGAGATTCAGAGGTCGGAGTCAGGGGAGGCTGCCTATGGAGAACATTCGCTGTGCTGAGGTTTGTTGATATATTTGCATTTTTGGGGATAGAAATTACATATGTATGATATCAAATAATTGAAATTGCCTTCAGTAATATGTTTCCCATGGTGAGATTTTGAAACTAGTTAAAAGAGATCAATAAGACTGTGCTTTTATTGCTGTATGGTTTTTATTTTCCAGAAGAAAAATCCTCAACATGGGTCTATGCCGATAATAGACCTCACAAAATCGTAAGTAAATTAAATTTTTTGTTTGTGTCAATAAGCCAAGGAAGGGGATCACTGTTATTTCCATTGTGTATCAGAAGCGAAACATGAATTAACACAGTAGCAATTTATATGTAATGTATTCCCACCATATTAAAAACATCTATCATCTAACTTGTTTTTCCACTCCAACTCAAGCCCTAACAGGGATAACCCAGATGTATACCACTGGGCCAAACCCCCAAGCAACCCTGCAGCCCATTTACAGGCTTGGACACACCAAGAAAAGCTTGTCAAGAGCCAGGTAGTAAACTGGGGTGAAAGGTCACGTGATACGCAAGCAATGGAGAGGAATATCCCTGCATCTTCCTTATCCCGACCTGTGCCAACATACCCTGAAATCAGGGCCTGTCTGACGACTAGTAAAAGTGGGACAGCGCCAAACTCACAGATCCAGTTACCTGCCTCAATGGGAGGGGTGGGAAGTAAATCAGATGGGGGGCAACAGTGGACCATGAGCTGGATTCCCCATAATCCCCAGAACATCCAGAACATGACAGGAAGTGATCTGATGCCAATGCATCCTCTGTGGATTGGTGTTGGGGATAATAGTCATCCCCCCATCAGGGAGCCCGTCCTCTCAGAGCAAACTAATCCGTCTTCCTGGTCTAGTCTGCCTTCTCCTCCTCCATCTGTACCAGCAGGAAATACAGCACAACAATCTCTGCACTCCCTCACACCTCTCGCCAGCACTACAAATAATGTCCATCCCATATGTGAGCCCCTTCCTATAAATTACCCATTTTTCCTCCTGAATGGTCAAACCTATTCCACTACCAATCCTGAATTATCCACAGCAACTATTGATAACAGAGGGAGATTTCCTCCCTACATAGAGTAGTGCTGCTTCTTTGTCAACTTTTATGGAGCAGGTTTGTAACGCAAATAAGGACCTTTTGAAAATAAGGAAGTGATGGTGTTTCCGTGTTTAAATACTGAACTGGGTCAGGGAACAAATATCAGTCAAAAAAGGAGGAACTCAAAGGGGAGTTGGAAACAAAAGGATTTGAGTTAATTTATTTCATGTTTAATTCACTATTTGGAGTTAATTTAATTTGTTTCATGTTTGTTGTACATTATTTTTTATTGTCGTAACTATTTCTGTTGTATATAATCTCAAACACGTTGTCAATTGCTGATAAGCAATATCTGATTGAAAATGTCCTATTTTCTGACCAAAATGAACTGTATAAAGTGTTCTTAACTTATTCCTCGAAGTGGATTATAATGTTATTTTGTAATATCGAATTGTAAATAATATTATTTAAGTGTTTTCTTAAACTTTAAAGACCCCTTTTGGTTATTAGCTTGTTTTGCATTACTCAGGATTGTGTGCGCTTGTCATGTTTAGGCTACTGCTTGAGGCTTTGTTTTGTAATAAAGTGTAAAATTGGCTAACTTAACCCTTAATAACTATTTCCCAGCAGAAAATAATACATTTTGTATAGGTTAACTGACAAATAAAATATATTTGCAGAAATCCAATAAATGTGGCTGTCATTTGTGCATCACAACACAAACCTCAAAATAAGTAATATTTTTTAAATATAATGTTGTTAAACAAATGCTACTTTCTAATATAATTAATTAGAAAGGTGCAATTATCTGTCATCTGAACTACTTTGTTTTTTTTTGTGACCAACTTTTCGTTTTGTCTTTTTTTTTCAGAGAGGGGGGTTACAAAAACAATTAAAGAAATGCATACAGAGATAACCCCAACCCATTCCCTCCCTCAGTCCCCATCATATTCTGTTCCAGTTAAAGGGTTGCTCAGATTCAATTAGTTCTGTGGACCATACTTTCTTAAATATTGGCTAGCTCAGAATATTTTATAGAGATCAGTCCTTTCGAAGAGCCCAGATAATTTATTTATAAATCCCATAATTGGATGGTTCGGTAGTTGGGTTTCCATAGTGACTCCATAGGCCAGTGTAGCTGTCCGAAGTTGAAAATATTGAAAAAAGGAGCTGCCTGGTAATGCGCATGTATCTTTCTGAACTAAATGTTTTTTTTAATCTAACGGTATCTTGCCTAACAGAGGTGTGAACTGACGGAAGCAGCAGCATAGAAAAAAGAAAAAAACTCTTCCTGTGTGGTTGACAGATGAGACTTTGTTAAACACTGGTCAGAAAATGTATATTATTATTATTATTATTAAAATGTAGAACCAAATACAGCCCACAGCTAGCTCTGATTACTACTTTCCCTGCACCATTGACAGCGCCAAAGTTTGAGTCACATTGGTGAGAGGTCAGAGGTGGTGAAGTGTAACGGAGGTGGTTCGGTAACCACGCTTGTGTAAAATAACCTTGCCTAAGACCTGAAAAGTTGCATTCATGCGTTGGTTCCCTGAGCCATTACCTATAGACTTCTGCTTGACTAATGCACTCTTCTGCCACGCAAGATAACCACCTAGCCCAGGACAGGTTTTAACCCTGATAAGAATTTGGTGGGTGATTATATTTGTCCTGTTACACACTTGTGTTTTTTTGCGTATCCCAACTCCCCCGAGACACCTGTGGACCTTGTCGGCTCCGGGACTCGATCCATCGACTTTTCGGTTACTGGCCCTACACTCTAAACCTCAAGGGTACCTGCCCCAAGACTATAGACTGCTTAATCTAGTCTCCATACTCCATATCATGCATCTCTTTTTCTTTTCTGTTTCTCATCTTCTCTTCTCCCTATTGCAGTATTTGGCGGTAGCCGCCATCTGTCTGGCGAATCCTCTTGTCCTCAAGGCGGCGCCCACGCTTTCATCACCTCCATCGTTTTCGAAATACCAATGTGATGACGTCGATTCGAGCGAGGCAAATACTGAGCGGCCATTACATAGCGAGTTTCCTTTGGAAGGTCGGGGGCGACAGGGAACTAGCGACCGAAAGACATCGCTCGCAGTGCCGAGAAAACAGGGACGTCCCTGCCGCACCATACGGTTTATACCTGGGCCATAAAAATAACAGAAACATTAGCGTTGTATTGACGATATCGGTACGGATAATAATCACAGATTGGCTCGTTGATTAGATATAGCTAACGTTAGAGTGCTGCGCAGCGTTCCACAAACCCGGCCATAGCCCGGCTGTCGTCTTGAGTTGCGTCGAATTTGAGCGAAATAAGGGTTGTTTCATTACTTCACCATAGCCGCTAGTTAGCTAAAAACAGGTTATCTGAACAGTTTTGAAAATGGACGATAAAGTATTTACAAAGGAATTAGACCAGTGGGTCGAGCAACTGAATGAATGCAAGCAACTGTCGGAGAATCAAGTGCGAACGCTATGCGAAAAGGTAAGAACACCCGACTGAAGACATGTTAGCTAGCGATGTTATCTCTAAGTTACTTTTAGTTAGCTTCTCACCGGTAACATGTTCACGTGAAGGCCGCTTAAATCTGCTTAGCTAGTATCGTCGACGACTCTATAAAAACCAATGTTTCATCTACATTGCTTGGTGGTTAGTTAACTAGGCTAATACACCATTTTTGTGTCGGAAGTCTTAAGATCCATTTCCACATTTCGTTATTCGCTAATGTGACGTCTTGTCTAACGTTACCTAACTATTAACTGGTACCATAACAAGCTAGTTGGCTGGCTAACTAATAACTTTAAGGACTTGGGCAACAGAAGTTGTTATCTAACTAGCTAACTTCTCAACAACATAGCTATCTAGGTACATAATTGAATTGCCAATGTTGTTATAGAAAACTAACTATTGATGCCAATAATGTTGCCACATGCTAACGTAACTAGCTAGCTAACTAGCAGCGGTAACGTTAGCTATGTACTAACATTATCGTTAGCTAACGTAGCGTCTACCACCAACAACCAACCAGTGTGTATCTCCGCTTATTGACGTAGTTAGCTAGCTACGTTTTTTGCAACTAGTGTCTGGAAATGCATAGTTAGTTATTTGGATCTAATTGAAGCAAATATCACTGCCTGGTAAATTAGGTAGCTAGAGAACGCTAGACGGATGACAGATTGTATCACTAGCCAACCAACAAACTAGAACTAGCTAGGTACGACTTTCAATACTAAAAACATGACGTTAACTACAAACTTCAGCTTATACATGTCAATGGCTCTTTCATAGGTTTGATAGACCACCGAGTAGTTACTCAAATGTAAAAAATATCTAATTTAGGGATGGACAATTGGCGGACCCCCTTTTGAAGATCCTCGGCTCAATTCCCTCCAATTTACGGTTGTAAATTAGAAAAAGTAGAATACACAAGGTGCATTTTGTTTGTGCATCAGCAGTTTTTTTCTTGTTATGCCAGTCACTGATAGTCACTCGATTAGCTAATGTCAGCGAAAAAAATGTAGATTGGTAAATTAGTCTAGCAGCCAGCTATCTAAATTTAGTAATCATGGTCGAATCACTCAGATACCATCCTATGTAAAAATGTGGAGAATGGCAGGAAATTAGCTGCAAAACATTCTCTCCGCCCCATGGCAAAATGTGTAGAATTGCAGCAAACGTCCTTTAAAACTGCAAAATGTTCTCTATGCCTCAAGGCAAAATGTGTAGAATTGCACGAAATTAACTGTACAGTGTAAATGTTCTCTCCTGTCAAGAGGGGGACTGCACATGTGGGTATGCAGACCCGCAAGCAACTCCGGCCTCTCAGGAGTTCGGATTGTTTGTGATCCCCACCCCATCAGTTTCCCATCCCTGATGGAACTGGCTTGCTATCTTCGACTATCCCCACATGATGATGTTGCAAGATATGCAGGCCTTGAGGAAATTGTAGATTCCATTTAGGATGGAACCATTTGAGATCACAATCACAACAATTATATTTTTCCTCACACAGTGCAGAACATCAGTATGGCTGATTGAAAAAAATAACATCTCACTGTTTCGTTGGAGAACCTTTTGCACCAAACAAATGTGAATTGCAGACCATAAAATAATTTACCTCTTTGAGGAACCATACTTTGCATTGTATAGTTGAAATACAGTATGTGCAACAAGCTAAATTCAATGAATTTAATGTACCACCCAACCAGTCCATTTTCATTGGTCATTCATATTCATGTCGAGATGATGTCATGACACATGCATGTGGATGTTTTCTTTAGCAATAGGGCAAGTTTTGCTGATGAATTTACATTGTCACCTTCACATTAAAGATGGATAGGGCTATGCTGCAGAGAAGACTCCATGGAGACACACTCGCATTGTCTCCATGGTGATAATGGGGCAGCTTTCACAGCAAATGGTGTTTCGGGCCGGGGAAGCTACGACACCCTTCCAGTCAAATAAATTAATATAGAACTCATGCTTGCAGCATGTGAGGCAGCTTTCCTATCTAGTGTTTTGTTGTAGCGTACATAGTTTAAAGAAAACGTACGATACTTGTCTTTCATTCACCCTCATGAGTAAACGTTTAAATGTGGATACACCAGTCACTGATGTTTTCTGTAATGCACTTATTTTGTTCCCCTCTCCAGGCTAAAGAGATCCTGACCAAGGAGTCCAACGTGCAGGAGGTGCGCTGTCCCGTCACGGTGTGCGGAGATGTGCACGGCCAGTTCCACGACCTCATGGAGCTGTTCAGAATCGGGGGCAAGTCGCCCGACACCAACTACCTGTTCATGGGGGACTATGTAGACAGAGGCTACTACTCAGTGGAAACAGTCTCGCTGCTCGTCGCACTTAAGGCAAGTCAACTCTGAACTTGATGAGTGGGCTGAAACCACAGTATTTCAGTTACTGGTATAACGTCTGCCTTGCCATAATAAAAGACTGAAAAAGGGATGGGACCCAGATAAATAAATCTACAGTATTTTACCTACAGTATATTTTTTGACCAGCACCAGTTTTTCTTAAAACCAGGGACATATCATTCTCGTATGCTCAATATATTTTGAAACCCCCAACTGTGCCCTGAAGAAAGTCAAAGACTAATCAAGTTTTACTACCTCAGAGAATGTAGGCTAGCTCTTGAAGTGTGTGGGAGCTGGTGGTATTCAGGAGTCAATGTATGCAAGCTGGAGATAATATGCAAACTGAAGTAGTCCGCCAAAGTGTGTTTTTTTTTTTGTAGACTCAATGGATTCCTGGGCTCAGCTGGTAATGCTGACAAGCTGGAAACGGGACAGTTTACTGTCATACCAATGTGTCACTCCCCTCACGGCTGTTAACATAGTGGGTCGAATTGGACTCATTGAGCTCATCTCAAATTAACGAGGTCATCTGTGACGTTCGAGGTCTCTGTGGGACAGTTCATCTAAGGACAACAGATGTATAACTATTGGGATAACTTATTATTTGTAAATAATAGGCTATAACAGGATCACTTTTATTAGTCAAGTGTGGCGTAAAATGCATACCTTTCTTAATGGCGTTAAGTAGAAGAAAAGTAGTTTCAGTTTTCACTTGGTGGCACCGTGCCGCTGTCACATTCTTTGCAAAGGAACTCGAGTTATTTAGGCCTGGCGCTTTTGGAGCTAAACTCAATTAGGACTGTCTCGCTCCCCAGGTCCGTTACCCAAAACGCATTACGATACTGCGGGGGAACCACGAGAGCAGACAGATCACACAGGTGTATGGCTTCTACGACGAGTGCTTGAGGAAGTACGGCAACGCCAATGTGTGGAAATACTTCACAGACCTCTTCGACTATCTCCCCCTGACAGCCCTGGTCGACGAACAGGTAACAAGTGCATGAAGTGGCCTTATTTTATGTCATGGGGTGCATCCCTGATGACACCCTATTCTCTTTTAAAGTGAGCTACTTTTGACCAAGGCTCTGGTCAAAAGTAGTACACTATATATAGAATATGGTGACATTTGGGACACAGATTGGACGTTGTGCTCAAGTTCAAAGGAAGCCTAGCTACATAATTATGTGATATAACTCTTGTCATTTACATTTGGGCTACATTAACATTTTAGTTGTTTAGCAAACACTCTTATCCAGAGCGAATTGTCACGTAAGGGTAAATCAACATCTATACTCTGTTTCTTCCTCTGCCTTAGATCTTCTGCCTGCACGGTGGACTCTCCCCCTCGATAGACACACTGGATCACATCCGGGCCCTGGATCGCCTGCAGGAGGTTCCACACGAGGTCAGTGCTGCCTGCCAGAGGACGTTAGTAGTCAGCCCCGTCAACCACACAGACAGTGGGGGCTGGATACTAGCTATCTGTCAGCAGAGAGAGGGGCTGTCAGATGGTATGAGGTAGTGGGGTTGTCATGAGGTCGTGTTGACCTACCAGTGTTGGAGACAAGCCCCGGGTCGTGTTCAGTAGGCACTAAACGGAGTAAAACGGGGAGGACGTAACTGGACTTGAGAAATGCTTCGTTCCGTTATTCCATCTGTGATTTGCTACGGTGGGCCCTAATGAACATGGCACTGGTCTCTGCTCAAGAGGTAGGCTATTCAGGTTGTCACCCTTCCAATGCATCATTGTCATTGAGGGCTGCTGTCTTATGACAAATTATTAGGAATATTCCCCTCCTTTGCAATCCTACTGCCCATAGAATTACATCATTTAATAGGATCTCTGTGTTCAAGCCATCCTAAATTGGGTCATAATCCCCATGTGTCATTGTCATTGAGGGCTGCTTTTGTTAATGATATGTGTGTGTGTTTCAGGGGCCCATGTGTGACCTGCTGTGGTCAGACCCAGATGACCGCGGGGGCTGGGGCATCTCCCCCCGAGGTGCCGGCTACACCTTTGGGCAGGACATCTCGGAAACCTTCAACCATGCCAACGGTCTTACCCTTGTGTCCCGCGCCCACCAACTTGTCATGGAGGTAACCCCAGTTACGCTATTAGTTTAGGCAGTTCATGTTTATGCTCAGTGTGTTTATATACTTGGTTGGTGTCATTAGTATTAAAGCATGTGGCACAACTACAGTGATTCTGGTAGTAAAATACTTTACCTGTTAGATATTTACATGAATTAATGGACTTCCATGTAAATGGAAAATTAAGTTATAGTATCGTATTTTGGGGGGGAGCATAGAATTTGAATTCTACCATGGAAAAGGCCAATTTCTGAATATTTCAAATGTTGTGGTACTACCATTCTGTTCATGGAACCTAAAGGTCAAGTAAGACTGCCCAGAGGGAATTACATTTGAGATGTCAAAATGAATGGATGTCACGGATAGAGCAGAGGTAGCCTACACACGAGTTAGATTGCTCTCCATGTTTCCGTTGATGATTCAGCTGGAAGCTGCTGTGCTAGAGTTGAACCTGAATCAATAATTCAAGAGCCTTCTGTACAGCGTTTTTATTTATAGTATTAACCACTTCCAGCTTTAAAGTTATTTACAGCTTCAAATCTCTATTTTTGATGTAAATTGCATGTTATAAAAGGGTTCAGGCACCCTTTTTGTGATTACACTTGTATTTTTAGAAACTTACCCCAAACAGCAAATCACTTCCCCATCCTTGTTGTGTAGTATGGGGGCCTCGAAATAACACCCAAATACGCCCTTTTAGAAACGGCAAAGCTCTCAGTATAGTGATGCAGGTCATTAGATGTTGTGCACATGAAATTGTCATTTTGAACTTTATCCCAACCCTGTATTCCCTTTTGTGCGACTCAAGCCGTTTCCCCTATCCAGCTGTTCATTTTCCATGGTCCTATGTAGCTCAGCTGGTAGAGCACGGCGCCTGTAACGCCAGGGTAGTGTGTTCGATCCCCGGGACCACCCATACACAAAAATGTATGCACTCATGACTGTAAGTCGCTTCGGATAAAAGCGTCTGCTAAATGGCTTTATTATTATTATGTAGCAAGCTGCTACAGGTAACTGCCAAAATAAAGGAAACACCAACATGGTGTCTTAATGGGGGCGTTGGGCCACCACGAACCGCCAGCGCCTTGGCATAGAGATTAAGTTTCTGGAACGTCCTTTGTGGAAGCACCCTATGTTTTCAATATAATCCTCATTTTACTCAAGTGTTTCCTTTATTTTGGCAATTACCTGTAGAATGGACGGATAGGTATCGCTCGAGTCGCAACAAAATTGAATATAACGTTGCAGAGAATGTTCAGAATTACACCATTTCATGTGTAAAACATTTAAAGCGCTGCATCACGATACTGACAGCTTCCAAAAGGACCTACAGTATTTGGGTGTTTTTGGAGCCTTTGCTCATATTTTCAGGGCCCCCATATTACACAACGAGGATGAGGAAGTGATTTGCTGTTTTGGTAATTTCTCCCCCCAAAAAGTGAAATCACAAACAAGGTGCCTGGACCCTTCTATAACATGCCATTAACCTCAAAAATAGAGATTTGGTTGTAAAAAAAATAACTTATCCGTTTAGGGAGGAGCAGGGGGCCTGTGCTTCGAGACTGGGGATGCATCCAAAATGGCACCCTCTTCCCCATAAAGCGCACTATGTAGGGAATAAGGTGCCATTTGGGACGCAGCCTGGGAGTTAATTTGGCTCAGTCATTCTGCATAAGAATCCCAGGACCAGAATATAGAGTTCGAAATAAAGCTGTGTACTGTCCGAATGTAACTTTTTGTAGGAGTTTTGACTAACGATTAGAATAAGTGACTTGAGGTTCAACTTACTTTTTAACATTTATCATTAGCATACGTCTATCCAGAGCACTTCATTAGTAATCAAATTTTTTCATACTGGTCCCGTGATGAACCCACCCTGTGCAACGCCGATGCTCTTCACTGGCTACGCGGCATTTTCCCTCCCTACCGGACAACGCTAGCATGTGCGCTGCCCAGAGTCTCACAGAGCCTGATCGAACCAGATTCGCACAACACTGCGATGAGTCCTTAGTCCACTGCGCCACTCTTCACTAACGTGCGGTTGTCTTTTCCAGGCTACACTGGGTCTACCGAAACGTTGTCACCATGCGCCAAACTACTGCTATCGCTGTGGAAACCAAGCTGCCATCATGGAACTGGACGATACTCTTAAATACTCTTTGTAAGTGTCATTTTGAGGTTATCTGGAGTAGATATGTTGTACGTTTGAGTCTCTAAGACCAGGGGAACTCAAATGAGTATTACTGAGAACAAGCAATATGCAGTAGCTGTGTCACTGCAGGTGCTTTTTCAGTGCAGTGTACTTCAAAGTAACTGTCATTGTCCCTAATTGGAACTGCTATATTCAGCACCAAAAACTTTGCTTCACAACTGGCATTTATAAATTGAGTTATACATTCCATTAACACATGAGTTTCTATCTAAAAATGCCTGTTCTGTAAATGGTCTCAATTGGAGTCATCCTAATGTTGCATTTCCTGTCCTCCTCCAGCCTTCAGTTCGACCCTGCACCTCGACGCGGAGAGCCCCACGTCACCCGCCGTACCCCCGACTACTTCTTATAAATGCCTCCAAACAAGTGGCAAACCCTCAACCTGTGTGCATATGACCTGTTACCAACATTAAAGCACTAACATGGACCAAAATGTGCCATATAAGCATTTAGTACACATTACAATACAAATTGCCCTGTGTCTCAGTACTGCAACACAGTGTCCCATTTTAGCCTTTAGTGCAATTGCCTGCTCTATACTATTGATCGTAATGTTCCTCTTTTTTTTGTTCACGGACTGTACATTACGCAAACAAATGTGACAACTCTTCCTTTCCCCACCCAAAGATCACTGGACAAATTATACATTTTCTGTTTGCAAGGCCGGGCATGTGAATTATTTACAGTATTTTATACAAATGCACACGCTTACATCCCCAGCCTTCTTCACCACACTATTTGGGAATGGATGCTTAAAATTGAGGGAGATTCCTCTTTGGGATTGTATTCTTTCATGTCTATAGACCTACCTACTTTATCCTACTCTACCTGTGTGTTTACTGTCCTCTCTGTATATTTGTCATGAAGTGATTGCCTCTTCTTTGATGTATTTGAACTAAAGTACTTTTAATCTTAAACATCAAATCTGACTTACTGATATTTTCAATCAAGTCATTCACACTCATAGGTGTTTGTGTAGCAATGTTTTAATAAAGCTTGGGAAAGAGTAATACAACTGTTTGAGCATGGAAGGAGTACACAAAGGTTGTAGACTTTGTTCTGGCATTAAGATAAAATCCATGCAATACGGACTTAGTTTATAGCTTTGTTCCCTTTTCTGAAAGATAGCGTTGTCAAGGATGGGCTGTTATGAAGGCTTCCGTGATCCAGCAACCGGTTGCTCATATCTTTATTTTCAAATGGCATGGAACTGATGCTTTTTCCTCAGGTCGTGGAGGGATCTTTCTCTTCCACATTTAATACTGTGTGCGTTAAAATGCCTGCATCCCCCATACTTATGTCTTTCCCAGTGACCAAGGGTTGTCTGGGGTAGGTGGTGCATAATGTGTAGACTGTAGGGTGATATCCCGTTTTCAGCAACCAGTCCAAAAGAACCTACAGAACACAAGGGTTTTCTTCAAATCACAATAGTACAATCTTCCTAAGCTAATAAACTATTTTTATTATTTTAGACTTAAACATGTTAATGATTATATAAAACTTAAATATCTTATTGACTTAACTACTGAATAGTACTGAGGCCATGTTATAAAGGAAAGTTTGACTATATCTATGAAATGGGGGGGGGGAAGACTCCTTTATTCTCACTGAGGAGCTGTCGGATTTCAGGAATCTTCTGTGAATTGTTCTTCCACTTGGGCATCTCAAAGCCACCCGTACAACCTATCAAAGGAAGGTCAAGAAAAAAAAAAACAGTCCTGCAGCAATGAAACCTCGACATACTCACACTGACCACCTTTTGCCAATCATTAATTGTTTGCATTGACAAACCAATGTAGTACAGACTAAACAATATTGATTAGAGTGTAAATGTGTATCCTCTTCACATTTCATAGTGTAACATTGATGTAAGAGCGAACACTCCATTGGACAAGAAAGGGTAAATATTATAATACATACCCCTTCAGCATCCTCTGCTGGCTCCTCTGGTAAAACAACCACCTTTTCAATCCAGAGAGCAAAAAAGCACAAACAATTGGGGTCTTAAGCCAGGATTGAATCCCATCGTGCTTTGTCGACTATGCACCATTTAAAAAGGTCACTTCCGATTGAGCCGACATATGCAGTGTTTACTGTGAATGCGGTCTCTGAACGTCTTTAAAAAGGTGCATAGCCGACAAAGCGTGATCAGATTGAATCCCGGCCTAAACACAAAACAATGACTCCCTCTGCTTTAGTGAAATAATAAACTATAGAGGGACTAACCTGACATGGAATAAAGGACGGCGCTATCCGGGATCCTTGGGACGTCTCAACTCTGACCTTACCTCATTGAAGTTTACATTTAAAATGGTTATGGTAGGGGTATAGGGTAGGGACGTCCCAATGATTCTGAATAGCACTAACCATGGAATAAAACCATTTCCAGATCCATTCCATTAGCATCATATTATCCTGAATAGAGGCACTCAGTATACGCACCCTTTTTTTGGGAGGGGCCTCAGGTTTGGGGTGGACTCTGGTGGCACTCTCTGGCAGTTTCCTCCTTCTTACTGCCTCCTGATTGGGTGTGCCATTAACATCCTCCTGGGCGCTCTGCCCTGACGTTTCTCCTTCCTGTAGCCACATAAATAACACATTTAAAGTTGGCACACCTCACTGAGGATCTTGTCCATAGAAGTCTATCAAAAGGCCAAAAAAATGTAAGAGGTGTGTACAATTGCTCTCTCCAGTGGAAGAAAGCAAGTACTGCAGTCCATGGACTAAGCACGCTGTTCATTGTCCAAGCAAATTTGAAACAGAGTACAATATCAATTATTATCATGTTTTATTCATTCATTGATAGCTTTACCTGGTCCACTGAAAAATATGTTTCTTTTTATTCTACTTGTGGCATGAAACCAAACACATTTAGTGTCCATGACAACATGCAACATGTAGCCTAGCCTTCTCTACACATTGCACTGGGGCAAAACAATCTGCGTTTTAACCGTAAATAACAACCTACAACTTATTTCGTAACACGTAAAGTAGCACATGCGCAGAAGGTACGGTTGTTTAGCTACCGGGAAGATGTGTCCAGAGAATCCGGTCACCCAGCCACTATGTTATATATATGGTTTGTTTTATACAGTTCCATAGGTGGTATCTGGTAGTTAAAGTTATTCTCACTCCAAGTTGTTCTCCGTCAGTCAGCTTCCAGGCCTCTCCGGTCATGCGGTAGAATCGCTCCTCTTTCTTCCTCATAGAAGACTCCTGACGAGGTCTCAGCACTGACTCCTGATAAGAGAAGGCCTGAAAGGGAAACACACACACAGGAAAGTATTAGCCTACTCTGTTAAAATAGAGCAGTGCTGTTTAGTTGTTTTTTGCTGAAAGGCCATGTTACCTTCTCACGGTGTTTCTCCTGAAGCTCCTCCCTTGCCTGCTTTTGTCTTTGTTTTGCCTCCTCATCGTCAGAATCTGGAAGAGATGCTTACTTTAATTTCAACCATCAATTGCTTCACAATTTTCAGAAGACATCGTAGGCCTGGTATCAGAAGTTGAACAACAGTGGGTGCCTGGGCTGTGTTCAGTAGATGCAAATGGAAGAAAACTAAGAGCACAGATTTTAGTTTCAATGTGTGTTATATTCATTAGTGAAAACAGGCATTCAAGACGGTCCCTCTCCGCTTCCGGCCCATTTCCTTAAAATGAATTGCTATTTTGATCCGTGATGCTTATTTGATCCAATAGAAGTGTCATAATGCTTAGGTTACGAGTGTACTGATATAAGTGTGATGCACGTGACATCCCGGCAACTTGGAGAAAAAACACTATCAGAGTTGTCCCTGTTGAAATTAGAGACGAACTATGCATATGAGGCTAGGGCGGCAGGTAGCCTAGCAGTTAAGAGCATTGGGCCAGTAAGCGAAAGGTCGCTGCTTCGAATCTCCAAGCAGACTAGGTTTTGATGTGCCCTTGAGCAAGGCACTTAACCCCAATTGCTCCTGTAAATCGCTCTGGATAAGAGCGTCTGCTAAATGACTAAAGTGTAAGTGCTAGCATAGCATACCACTTTCCATTGAATACAGGCGGTTGACGTCAACACCCCTCATCGACTATTCAGAAAACAAATCCCAATGTTAGGGCGGAGACAAGCATCTCATCATTATATCCAGTATCTCTGATACAACCCAGGTCTTGGGAGACTCACAGGATGTGCAGGGGTTTATTCCAGGCCAGTACTGAAACACCAGATTCAGCTAATCAACTAATGACCTAGATTAGTTGAATCAGGTGTGTTGGTGACGTTCTTCTGGCTCTGCTGTGACCCATTCATAGACGCTAACTGCTTTAGCGCCTATTGAAAGTAGTATCTTCTGGTCGGGGGAGATCCCCGACGCTCGTGCTGAACGTTAAAAGCATCGCTTGCAGTACGGTTTTGGAAAGTAAAAAGGTTAAAATAAAATATTATATTACTACACACCTTTATAGGGTTAGGGTTCCCACACGGCAACGTCACATCGTTTGTTTGCGGAAGACAGACAGAAGGCCACCTGTGCTAATTAGCTATCTGGCGTGCTCCAAACACCTGTATGTAAACGTAACTGGGGAGGAAGTGTAGTTCGTCAACTGGAGGCACACAGTTTGTGCAAAACTGCTACAGTATCTTTTTTATTTGAAATATTATTTCCTCGCCGATATGAAAGGGGCATATCAAAACGGTTTGAAAGCGATGACTTGACGTTTCTAAACGTTAAAACACAGCGTTAGAATTGTAGTTCAGATGCTGCCAACTGTGGATGAACCTAACCGCTAAAAACCCTATGCATGGATAGGAAGGGTTTTGGAAAGCTAGCTCTGTTGTAATAAAGGCCTAACTAAATGTAGAGGGACCAAGACTGGCGACTGTTATACAAAATAAAGGCAACGTAACAAAACAACCCCCCCCCCCCCAAATGGAACGCATGACTTCAATGAGTAATATGGGGCTCGCCTGTTTAATAGACAGTCACCTACATTCAGATGTTGGTCCGGTGTTGGAGGAGAACAAAGACCTCAGGCGTGGATAAAAATATGACACCATCAAGGCTGACAGGCCCAACAGCAACAGACCTCGCCCCACCAATAGAAAGGCACCTCTCACATCTAAAACGGAGATTCATAGACATATGATCATTGAATAACTTTCATAGATAATGTACTCGTACGATGTCACCTTCTCAAATGGATAGTGGATTAGTCAATTTATGACTGACTGTACACACAAAATATTGAACTAACGTTAGGACCGTAATGTCACAAAATAAAAGGACCAAAGTGACACACGGATAACATAATGACAATTCAATGTAGCTAGCTACCTAGCCCCATGCAAAAATTACTCTTCCTCTCCCCCGTGTTGCAAAGCTAGCCAATAGGCTCCTTGCACATATAGCTTAACCAACACTTTCAACAATACAAAACATTAACTTACCGATTATTGAATGTTTCCAAGAAACAAAACAAAGGAATGATATAAACAAGGTCCCCAAAAGCCAAGATGTCTTCGACGCAGACATTTTATTGTATCCTTCTTCTTCAATGAGGTTTAACGGCGGTTGGTATCCAATTTGTTACATTACCGCCACCTACTAGACTGGAGTACAACTCCCTTATATTTTGATTGAAAAATAAAATAAAGAAATACCCTACCATCTAACACTACACTCACAAATTCACTAGCTCGTGCTTGGCTCTGCCCACCTCCTTGCTTGTTCTGCATATTATTATTAATTTGCTCCCATTGGAAACGACAGGCTCTGGTCTATCTTGGGTTATTTATAAAAAATATTTGTCCATTTCGCAAACGTGTGATTGGGGACCCCTGCTGGCCAATATAAGTACATAAAAAGTACAGGTTATATAGGGGTCAGGATGAAATGTCTTAAACTGATCATAAAGATACGGTCTTTAAACGGTATTTTTAAACCATATTTAGCTGATTGATGGAAGCGCATAAGGAATAATCCACTGATTCCAGGCTGTATCACAACCGGCCGTGATTGGGAGTCCCATAGGGCGGCACACAATTGGCCCAGCGTCTTCCGGGTTTGGCCGGTGTAGGACGTCATTGTAAATAAGAATTTGTTCTTCACTGACTTGAACCTCTAGCACTATTCAATCTTGTGGTCATGTACTGTATTCTATTGTTTTGACCTTGACTAGTGTTGTCAGATACATCGGAAGTTTATGCAGGAGCACTTTGTAAATAAACAGAAGGGAATGCTGCTCTCTTCTTACAGACAGAGGCCCAACCCACCTTTTGCTAGAATAGACAATGGTGAGTTCTAAAATGATCACCAGTAATGAATCTAAGGGCACAATGGAAAACAGTATCTAGAGGTGTAAGTGTGGAAGCTGCTGCGTGCATGTAGATTATACCCCCCTAATCTAAAACTGACGTAAGTGGCCTGGACTCCTGACAGACATGCTCTGTTTCTGTAAAATAATAACCTTTTGATCTTCAACTTCTTTACCAGCTCAGTAACATGTGTTTTAAATGCCAACTTAGCCAGATACCAAGATATTCATAAGAGGGAACTTGTTCAGTGTGTGTTCTGTTCAGGCTAGTAATGTCAAGGTCACTTAAGTCTAATTTATGGGATCTAGAAAATAGCATGTATTTTGTATATTTTTTTGCATTAAGTACGAACTTAAGATCCAAGAGTGACTTTTGTAGCGCTTGGAAATCAGACTGCAAATGTGAAAAGGCTTGGTTTACAGATGATGCAACAGAGTACAATACTGTATAATCAGCATCAAAATTAATATAAATATTTTTCACAAATGTCATTTATATACAGCATAAACAATAGTGGCCCCAGAATCTAACCCTGGGGATCCCCTTTATCTGTGTTCTCATTGCAGGTGAGTAGGAATAAGGCGATAACTTCAAAGAGAAGAGAAACCCGCACACTGCTCTTGCTCTTATAACTTATTTTCTTAAAGCTTATGTGTCGGCCTCTTGACCTTCGTCAGAGCTTCTTCCCTCCTCCAAGAGGCCGACACACAAGCTTTAAGAAAATAAGTGATATGAGCAAGAACAGTTTGTTTGATACAATCTATATCTGTAAAAAAAAGAACAGTCAACTTTTGTTTAGAAAAGAGATGCTAGGAATGGTACTGGATCTCCAGTGACATGTTATGTTTGTCCCTGGAGTAATAGTGGTGCGACAACTTGCCTTCTTTGGCTAAACTTCCGGAGCAAGCTAATACAGCAGAACTGGAATTGTTAGTCATAGTACTTCGTCTAATCTGTGAATGGATCACTGAAAATTATATGGTAAACAAGGACAATATAACAAAATGTGACCAGGAGAGTGTGTGTGTGTGTGTGAGTGAGAATACCTTCACAAGTGCCTCTATCTTGGACTGCCACTGGCAGGACCTGTGTGTCTAAGTCAGAGAAAGGCCTTTGAGCAGTGACCAGACCACAGTGCTGAAAGGCCTTTGTCCCCCTGGAGACTGACTTCCTAGAAACAATGAGCTAGAGTGGTCACCTGACAGACCAAACCTCAGAATAGAGAGCATGCTGACTGCAGAGCTTTATCTGAATTCATGACATACTTACCCCAAAATGTATGAAAGTTAAACACATTTTGTGTAAACCTTGTGTAACACATAGATACAGTGTATTGATTATGAGATGCTAAGTATTCATGTCAAACTATAATATTGTGGTGTCTATTGAGAATTGTTAAGCATATTGTGCTTAGATAAGTTTTGCGCTTTATATTTTGATGTAGCGGCTTTAGACAGAATATTTCACATTGTCAATTGTTGTTTGTTACCAATAATAAACGTCATTCAACACGACCAGAGATGACTTCATACAAATGAGATTATTGCCGACTGTCCAGGAAGTGGGCATGGTGCTGTTTAAGAGATGATAGATGTCATAGGTATGTTATGAATTAACATACAGTTAGTCGGTAGACCAGTAGCTCCCCATCACACTTCCTGGTTGTCAGTGTAGCCCAGAAGAGCTTGTTAGGTGAGAGTTGAGTTATAGGGTGTGTCACTGCCATTTACCCTAGTTGCCACTGAGCCAAATATGCCACTGAAACTGTTCCATGCCCATATTATTATTCAGATAGGTTTGACTAATCATCATTCCCTTTAAAGACGCACTCCAGTCTCCTTTTCAGCTCATTTATCATCTGATTTGCTTAACAAAAAGGTGCATCTCAATAGGTGGTCCAGGTATGACATGGAACAAGAAGGGGGTGGGCCTTTCCTCTTTTGTCCTCTATTACTTCTCTATTGTTCCTCAAGCAAGGGGGAGGCCGATGACAACATTACTGTATTTATACTTGGGATATGGTTTTTCCAACAGGAAAAGTAAAAAAAAATAACCGGAGTGGGTGTTTCAGTGCATCTTTAAAATATGATAACATCTTAGGACACTTTGATGTGGTACTTTGAAGTCTAGCAATTAAGATCGAACAGTAAGAAAACATTTTGACAATGATTGACAGTTGCTGGTTACTTGGCTTATGCCTTATGCAATTCTTTGTTGTAATGTTGACACTCCCGACTTGAACGGAGGAATGATGAAGTCAGAGGTAAAGAATGAAGAAGGAAGTTGTGCACGATTAGTGAGATAAGATACCTGTCAGGTTACTTGTTACTATTTCTCTGCTTGACACACTGAACATGCATAACTTTGTCATGAGGACACTGTTGTTTATTTCCATTGTGAATGTTTCTGATTGAAGGTTTATTGAAACATGCATGAGAAATTGGTTTTAGCATAATTATGGTAATTATTGTTTAAAAAATAATAATAATCCCCTTTGGTGTATGTATATTTGCTCTACATTTTCTTTACGTTCCCTTAATTTGTCATAATGAGGTTGACTGTATGTGCTTTTTACCCCAGTCTGTGTTAGGACTTGATACTTTGGAAGTAAATGACATGTGATTGAATGTGTTCTCTCTATTTTAAATTTGACTGTATGTGTACTCATGAATGCCTAATAATGATGATAATGATAATGAGGGTAATTACTGTTACTCTTATGCCACAGCATTGTTGAATACTTGTTTCTGATTGGCTAGAAGGGAATTCTAGAATGGGCATTAAAGCCAGATCTATGGGACAGTTGGATGCAGTGGCGGCTCCTGAAAAAATTCTCAGGAGGGGCAATTTTTCTGATGATTTAGGTGACCTACACACATTTTAAAAAAGATATGTCCAGCAACAACATGAAGACAGGGGCAGCATATAAGTCAATACCAGAAGCATTTATTGACTGATCTGGGGAGATGGATTCCAGTTTCTGTGACAGATTATAAATAATCTCTGATGCCTTTGTTATATTAGCTTTTGGTTGAATGTACTGTCGTAGTAAATATATAATGTTATAGCTTGGTCTGACTAAAATCTTGTGCATGACCCATTTTGTGTTGGGCGTTTGTTTTCAATCAATGCTGTTCCTATCCTATAACAATGGACAAAAGAGTCCTATCTTGTCAGCCTTGTCAGCAGGTGGCCAAGGACAACACCCACGCCATAGGTCTCTCAGTTCTTCCAACTCACGAGTTCTTGCTCTGAGGACACACACACACACACACACACACACACACATCATCACTGATAACACACACACACACACACACACATCATCACTGTTAAACACACACACACACACACACACACAAAAATCCCCTCTCTTTAGGCTGAACATTTGAAGACAGAGAACCCGACTCAGAGCCAATGCAACAGTGGAGGGGACCTCGCCCAACTCATCAGGACCAATCAGAAGATCAGAACTACTAGATTCAACCTACATCATTTATTGTATAAAATGTCTGCACAATGTTTTCGGGGCTCTCTTCAGATAGCTCCCTAAGAGTTTGACGAACGGGTCCGTGCACGCGATTCCAGATATCTTTACCTCTGAATAAACTGCCTTTATTATACCATATCCACCCTGTCCAAAGTCTCTACTTGGTCTCAGTTCTCCAGTAAACTTGTGATTATCAACAGTACACAACGGTAACAAACAATTGGGGGAACTCACGGGGCAGATAGTAAGGTCGCAGTGACACAGAAAGCAGTTCAATGTCGGGGGTACAGAGTCGCTCTCTTACCAGGATCGCGGTCCGCTCTGACCAGGGTGAAGCCGGCCGGCTCCACTTCTCTGTCCGGGACTCTGTCATCCAGCCAAGTCTCCCAGCTGTATTGGATTCCGCTGCCAGCAGCGTTTTCATTATTTAGTCCGTTCGTAGCGGGTATGTACACGATCAACAAGATCAGTCCGAAATCCATGGTTGGCAGAATGTTTGTAAACTAAGTCTACAAATTAAAAACATAAAATAACGCCACACTGCAGGTCGCAACAGAGACGCTGCTAGCCGCTATTTACTTAGTTACGTTCATGGTTACGTCACGTATGACGAAAGCGCGTAAGTGCAAGCCCACAGACACCCATAGAGAATGTATTGAAAGCTTTGAAATTTGAAAAAAATAGATTTTACATGACAGGCTATGAGAGACTTCTGGGCGATTTTCAACCTGACTGAAATCGCCCCAAAAACGGGCGGGGCCATTTCAAGCACGACTTTAGCCTGATTTGACATTTAGTGGCAGTCAGATCAGATTACAACACTGATAACTACTGTTGCCGTGATATAATTGATTAGAAAAAAATCCCTTCCTTTTCCCGTTTGGCAGTGCGTCGCCCATATCGCCCTATTGAACAGGCCGTCCCTGGTTGGATGTCTCTGGGACCTGCTGCGTTTTCCATTATTTTCAAGGTAATGTACAGAACGTCAGCGTTTATTCCTTTACATAATGCTCTAAGACCATGGGCTTTCAAATATTTTCTCTCCAAAAAATACAATTGATTATTGTGCCGTTTTATTCCCTGCAACACAGACAGACATTGTGGTTGTATTTGCTCTAAAAAACACTTGTTTTTTTTATACAACAGAGACGTTCATAATGAACAGATTGTATATGTGTCTTGCACTACACTGTCAACAGTGAACTCTGCATTTTTCTAACATATATAGATTCTCTCCAAAACCAAAGCTTGTCAGATGTTTTAAGACCTACATGTCTAGATAAATCCATAATGCATGCCATCGGTTCTGTAGATCCAGCTGTATCCTTCAACCCCAATTTAATAGAGAAGATAATCACAGAATAAAACCAAGACATAAACAGTGCTTATTTTGTATTGAGGCATCTACACTAGCTGGATCTACACTAGCTGGATCTACACTAGCTGGATCTACACTAGCTGGATCTACACTAGCTGGATCTACACTGCTGGATCTACACTAGCTGGATCTACACTAGATGGCCTGAGACATGTTCTCAACATAAGACCACTTGAGGTCTGAAAACATCTGACAAACTTTGGTTTTGGAGTGAAATGTCCTACTGTGCTGTATAATATGCATGTATCCCTTCTCAATGTTGCCTTAAGTTTGTTTTCAAGTGTGAGTTTAGGCTACTATGAGCTCTTTGTTTGACATTTCTGCAACAAATTTACAGCTCAAGTTCGACAACATTGCCCCAAACATGTACTTGGTATTTTAGTATTTGTGCAAAGCATGGTATTGAACCTGAACAACCTTTAGCCTACTTCATGTGAAGAACTGCATTATCTTAGGCTACACAGAATAAAAACTATGACTTGATACCTACAGATTCACAGAATAGTATTTTTTATGCATAGAGCTATTGTGTTTATATCTCTATTTGGTGATTGATTATGCTGATATTTATGATTAATTGATATCGATGATGCTGATACAGTATAACTTTCTAAATCCTTTTCTAAATCAATTGATGATGGTAATATAACTTTCTAAATCATTGTGTAAATAATTTTCTAAATCAATTGACAGGCTATTGATGATGCATTGATAACACACACACTCACATACTACAGTCGTGGTCAAAAGCTTTGAGAATGTTTTTAGATATTTTTGTCAGATGTTACTATGGTATACTGAAGTATAATTACAAGCATTCCATAAGTGTCAAAGGCTTTTATTGACAATTACATTAAGTTTATGCAACGAGTCAATATTTGCAGTGTTGACACTTCTTTTTCAAGACCTCTGCAATCCGCCCTGGCATGCTGTCAATTAACTTCTGGGCCACATCCTGACTGATGGCAGCCCATTCTTGCATAATCAATGCTTGGAGTTAGTCAGAATTTGTGGGTTTTTGTTTGTCCACCCGCCTCTTGAGGATTGACCACAAGTTCTCAATGGGATTAAGGTCTGGGGAGTTTCCTGGCCATGGACCCAAAATGTCGATGTTTTGTTCCCCGAGCCACTTAGTCATCACTTTTGCCTTATGGCAAGGTGCTCCATCATGCTGGAAAAGGCATTGGTTGTCACCAAACTGTTCTTGGATGGTTGGGAGAAGTTGCTCTCGGAGGATGTGTTGGTACCATTCTTTATTCATGGCTGTGTTCTTAGGCAAAATTGTGAGTGAGCCCACTCTCTTGACTGAGAACCAACCCCACACATGAATGGTCTCAGGATGCTTTACCGTTGCGTTGGCATGACACCGGACTGATGGTAGCGCTCACCTTGTCTTCTCCGGACAAGCTTTTTTCCGGACGCCCCAAACAATCGAAAAGGGGATTCATCAGAGAAAATGACTTTACCCCAGTCCTCAGCAGTCCAAACCCTGTACCTTTTGCAGAATATCAGTATGTCCCTGATGTTTTTCCTGGAGAGAAGTGGCTTCCTCGCTGCCCTTCTTGACACCAGGCCATCCTCCAAAAGTATTCGCCTCACTGTGCGTGCAGATGCACTCACACCTGCCTGCTGACACTCCAACACACACACACACACACACACTGTTTATTATGTTTCCTGATTGTACTTTTACCCCTACCTACATCTACATATTATCTCAACTACCTCGTACCCGAGCACATTGACTCCGTACCGGTACTCCTTGTATATAGCCTCGTTATTTTGTGTTACTATTTACCTTTTTATTTTATTTTAATTTTTACATTTCTTACAATTGTATTTGATCTATTTACACACTGCGTATCATGTTTCATTACCTATGCGATTGTCTTGGAACTTCGTCAAAACAGAAAGCACCAATCAGCGCAGTGGCATAGTTTCGGGCATTGTTGGAGAAGTTTCGTCCGGAGCCAAAACGTGGGAGGAGACACCTGCCGTGAGTGGATAAGTACCGTGCATCACCAACAGGCCAGACATTCGAGACAGGCTGAAGAGCGACAGGTGTGTACCAGATAGAAGAGGAAAGGGAAACGCCATTGTCACAGGTTATTTGGTCTCACTCATTTCTCTTCAGCTTTGAGTTTTACCGGTTTTGCCACATTTTAGGCGATTCACTTTTCAGTTAACTTTTAAAGTTCCAGTACAAAGAGGTAGGCGTAAATAACATCTTTACCTGCGCGTTAAAGTTTAGCCTAATGAAATATTAGACTAATTCTTCCTTAACATTTTTCCACTTCTCTAGATAAACATAGTTCTTTTTGTCTACCAATTTTAGTTGTTTAGTCTAACTTTGACAATTTAAGTAATTAACCCAAACGTACATATTCTGATTAGCCTAATGTGGTTCAGAGATTTCCCCCGATGGCGTGGTATTTTGTGTTCTAAGTAAACAACCTGCTTGTAATGGAGAACCCTCTTTAAACTAATTGACACATTCCCAGCCTAGAGTATGACACTGTGGTGGTTATGCAACCTGGTCTCAGAGCATTTCGTATTATTCTAACGTTAGCTAGGCTAGGTTTTAAGGTTAGGAGTTGGATTACAAGGTTAGGGAAAGGGTTAGCTAACTAGTTAAAAAGTTTCTAAAATGCTGAAGTTGTCCGTGATGAGATTCGAACTCGCAACCTTTGGGTTGCTAGACGTTTTCATTATAAACCCACCAGTGGAGGCTGCTTAGGGGAGGACGGCTCATAATAATGGCAGGAATGGAGTGGTATCAACCACATGGAAACCACGTCTTTGATGTATTTGATAACATTCCATTGACTCTGTTCCAGACATTACTATGAGCCGTCCTAAGTAACATATGTCTTATGTAACCATACCAAACATAACATATCACACTAAAAGGAGTGTCTCGGATTTACGTACAGAATAATACGAAATGTTCTGAGACCAGGCTGGGTTACATGATGGACCAACCTTGTGTAAACGTTAGGGGAAGTCTGTCAACAAACCTGGTGAATATGCACCACCCTATAGGATAAACTGGCACTCATTTTAAATGCATTCTGAGTTTGGGCCCAGGCATAGATAGCATTCTTTGGTTGTCTGGGTAGATATGTAGAGTAATTTTTAAAGGTAAAATGTGAATGTTATTTGGAGTGTGTAATGACAATGCTGATTAACAGTATATGCTTCACTGATAACCTTTGTAGCTATTGGAATGATCACATTTTTCTATTGTCCCATCTGTAAAGCTGACTTGACTTGTAACCTAATTGGGTAAACCATAGGACCGGGGTATTCAACTTTTACCCTACGAGGTCCGGATCCTGCTGGTTTTCTGTTCTACCTGATAATTAATTGCACCCACCTGGTGTCCCAGGTCTAAATCAGTCACTGATAAGAGGGCCACAATGAAAAAACGCAGTGGAACTTGCTGAGGTCCAAAGTTGCATTTGAGGGCCATAGGAGAATGTCTGGGGTTGGAATTTGACTCATCCACATTGTTTCAAAGAATACCAAGAACTCCCCTTACGAAAAGATTGCAGCCAGAGTGCAGTATAACTGAAGTATTCTGCAAATACTGTCCAAAAGAAAAAATTTACTGCAGTAATTTTGCAGTGTAACTGCAGTACACTGATGTTATTCTTCAATTGATGCATCCAAATTATCAGTCGACTCAGAATGGTAAGGGTCATCTAACCGTCTACTGGAACATGACTTTTAAAGCTGGAATCCAAACAGTTTTTTCATCTCGGACATAATTGTACGCGCGATAGAACAGCAATATGTACTGCTTAAAAAAATAAAAAAATAAATTGCCGCTGCTCCAAACCTCCGCTTGGTCAACAAAACTATAACGTCCGTAGGGCGAACAGTGGCGCCGTTTTCCCTACTGCGGATTCCATCTTTAAAAAGCTTGTATTATTGTATTTCAATTGTGTATATTACTTTGCTGTAAATGCCTATTCTGTGAACTGATATGGGGCTCTGACTTTTGGGATTGCACTTCTGAATTGTAGCCCATTTCTTTTATAGGAGGTGCAACAAGAACAGTAATGGCTTTCGACTCGCTGCCCTCCAGAGTAGTCTTGCTCTATGATGAATGGCTTAAACAGGCTGGTAAGTCTACACAAGTTGTCATTTCGAAAGGGCATTATGCAAATATTTATTGATGTAGAAAGTGGATACAATTATCAGTTCAGGTATAGTGTTTACTAGGGATATCTAAGACTGTGGAAATTAAGATATTTTAGATTTTTTTTCTTGCTCCATCCATTCAAACTCTTTCCTGCCCTTCCTTGAGGCATTGACTGATCAAACACAATTGGATGGGTGTCGGGCATGGGCTCATTACATTACACCTGTCCTGTTATGTCAGATTAGTGATTACTTGACGTTTTTGAACAGGATCCCTGGCTTGTCACATTACACTCAGGAGTAATGTTTTATTTTGTCCACTCAGATCCCAGGACAGAGGACTGGCCCCTAATGGCATCGCCGTTCCCCCAGACTCTCATCGTCATAACCTACATCTACTTTGTCACGACGCTGGGCCCTCGGCTGATGGAGAACCGCAAACCCTTTGACCTCAAGAACACCATGGTCGTCTACAATTTCAGCATAGTGGGCTTCTCCATCTACATGATCTATGAGGTGGGTGCACTTCAGAAATCTACTGGCCACCATAACTTTACACTTGAAGGTCCAATGCAGCTGTTTTTATCTCAATATCAAATAATTTCTGGGTAACTATTAAGTACCTTACTGTGATTGCGTTCAATTAAAATGGTCAAAAATAAATGAACAGCTTAGCAAAGAGCAATTTCGCAATAATTTTGCTAGCACTGTCAAGGAGTAGTCTTGAGTGGAGAGGTTGAAACTGAAAACTAGCTGTTATTGGCAGAGGTTTGGCACTCTTTCTTAGTGGTATATTAACTATACTAAAAAATATATATATAAACTCAACATGTAAAATGTTGGGCCCATGTTTCATGAGATGAAATGAAAGATCCCAGAATTTTTCCAAACGCACAAAAAGCTTATTTCTCTCAAATGTTGTGCACAAATTTGTTTACATCCCTGTTAGAGAATATTTTTACTTTGCCAAGATTATCATCCACCTGACAGGTGTGACATATCAAGAAGCTGATTAAATGGCATGATCATTACACAGGTGCACTTTGTGCTGGGGACAAAAGGCCAAAATGTGCAGTTTGGTCACACAACACAATGCTACAGATGTCTCAAGTTGAGGGAGTGTGCAATTGGCATGCTGACTGCAGGAATGTCCACCAGAGCTGTTGCCAGAGAATTGAATGTTAATTTCTCTACAATAAGCCGCCTCAAGTCATTTTAGAGAATTTGGCAGTACGCCCCACTGGCCTTACAACCGCAGACCACGTGTAACCACGCCACGTGGCCTGATTGGTGGAGTGCTGCAGAGATGGTAGTCCTTCTGGAAGGTTCTCCCATCTCCACAGACGAACTCTGGAGCTCTGGCAGAGTGGCCACCGGGTTCTTGGCATGTGGACGCCTTAAAAAGGGATCTGCAATAAGCTCAAGACTGTTGGATGGACGTTTTTTCCTCTCCTCTCCTCTCTCCCATTAAGAGTGCATTAATTGACTATTTGCCATATTCTAATAATTCTCATGTGCCACGGATCTAGTGCCCATGCACTCTTGTAGATATGAAATAATTGGATGGTGAAACTTGCCAGCCAACCAGAAAAGCAAGGTGACGCAATTCAGGCATTTTGAACGTCAGGACAATCTTTGTCCTGCAAAGAAACCATTTTTATAGTGGGGGGATTTTTTTTTTGATTATGCAAGAATTAGGCATTTTAGAATTGAATGTGGAGTGGCGCTTATAAACTCAGCAAAAAAAAAAAAACGTCCTGTCACTGTCAACTGCGTTTATTTTCAGCAAACTTAACGTGTAAATATTTGTATGAACATAACAACATACATAAACTGAAGAAGTTCCACAGACGTGACTAACAGAAATTGAATAATGTGTCCCTGAACAAAGGGGGGGGGGGGTCAAAATCAAAAGTAACAGTCAGTATCTGGTGTGGCCACCGGCTGCATTAAGAACTGCAGTGCATCTCCTCATGGACTGTACCAGATTTGCCAGTTCTTGCTGTGAGATGTTACCCCACTCTTCCACCAAGGCATCTGCAAGTTCCCAGACATTTCTGGGGGGGAATGGCCCTAGCCCTCACCCTCCGATCCAACAGGTCCCAGACGTGCTCAATGGGATTGAGAGCCGGGCTCTTCGCTGGCCATTGCAGAACACTGACATTCCTGTCTTGCAGGAAATCACGCACAGAACGAGCAGTATGGCTGGTGGCATTGTCATGCTGGAGGGTCATGTCAGGATGAGCCTGCAGGAAGGGTACCACATGAGGGAGGATATGTCTTCCCTGTAACGCACAGCGTTGAGATTGCCTGCAATGACAAGCTCAGTCCGATGATGCTGTGACACACCGCCCCAGACCATGACGGACCCTCCACCTCCAAATTGATCCCACTCCAGAGTACAGGCCTCGGTGTAACGCTCATTCCTTTGATGATAAATCGACTCCGACTATCACCCCTGGTGAGACAAAACCGCGACTCGTCAATGAAGAGCACTTTTTGCCAGTCCTGTCTGGTCCAGCGACGGTGGGTTTGTGCCCTTAGGCGACGTTGCCGGTGATGTCTGGTGAGGACCTGCCTTACAAAAGGCCTACAAGCCCTCAGTCCATCCTCTCCCAGCCTATTGTGGACAGTCTGAGCACTGATGGAGGGATTGTGCGTTCCTGGTGTAACTCGGGCAGTTGTTGTTGCCATCCTGTACCTGTCCCGCAAGTGTGATGTTCGGATGTACCGATCCTGTACAGGTGTTACATGTGGTCTGCCACTGCGAGGACGATCAGCTGTCCGTCCTGTCTCCCTGTAGCGCTGTCTTAGGCATCTCACAGTACGGACATTGCAATTTAAGGCACGTTTACGCAGATGAGCAGGGACCCTGGGCATCTTTCTTTTGGTGTTTTTCAGAGTCAGTAGACGGGCCTTTTTTAGTGTCCTAAGTTTTCATAACTGTGACCATAATTGCCTACCGTCTGTAAGCTGTTAGTGTCTTAACGACCGTTCCACAGGCTCATGTTCATTAATTGTTTATGGTTCATTGAACAAGCATGGGAAACAGTGTTTAAACCCTTTACAATGATCTGTGAAATTATTTGGATTTTTACGAATTTTCTTTGAAAGACAGGGTCCTGAAAAGGGGACGTTTCTCTTTTTGCTGAGTTTAGTTACGTGATGACATCGTGTACCTTCAAAATTATTTGGCAATCATTTATTTGAAAAACACCCTTTCATCATTTGTGGCAACAAAGGTTAGACAAAAAGAAAAATCCACCCCCTGTCGAACGGATAAGTGTTGTCGGCCTGTAGAAAATGCTATTTTTTTGCGAATAAACCTGGGTCAATGGAAACCTGCCTACTGTGTGGAGAGATGCACACACACAGGAAATCACGTTTTTGACTGCACTGGGCCTTTTTTAAAGTCTTCTCTCATGAGAAATAGAATGGGTTTATTTGTACTACTACGCTGCCATATGCTGGTGGTTACTTGCAATAACACCAGAGTGACTTTTTCATTAGGTGCTTTGAAAAGTGGGATGTCTGGTCTTTTCTCACATGGGTTTTCCAATGTTTAACTAACCTTAACTTGTTTGTGTTAGTATCTGATGTCTGGTTGGGCTAATGGTTACTCCTACCGCTGTGACCTTGTTGACTACTCCAGCAATCCTCTGGCTGTCCGGGTAAGCTACTTTCACATTGCGCTAGCAACATACTCTTTGAATATGAATGTGAATACTCCTGTATCTCTGAATTGGGTGGACAGAGGCTAATGTTTGACTGTTACCCCCTCAGATGGCATGGACCTGCTGGCTGTACTACTTCTCAAAGTTTATTGAAATGTTGGACACAGTAAGTACTGTTCTATCCTGTTTAGTTGTACAACTGTAGTCAAGTAGAACATTTTTATGACTTAAACATGCTGTTACTAGAGCATTATATGAAAGACAGTCTAAAACCCTGTTATTTTCTTCTCAGATCTTCTTCGTCCTCCGCAAAAAGACCAGCCAGGTGACATTCCTTCATGTCTTTCATCACTCCATCATGCCCTTCACCTGGTGGTTTGGAGTCAAGTTTTCAGCAGGTAGAGCAATAGACTTGAAATGGAACTTGTGAATCTGAGTTGGTAATTACCCAACATTATGCAACTTCATCTGTTGCCATTTGGAACCATACAATGTTATTTTTTTTGAACCAGGTGGTATGGGAACCTTCCATGCCATGTTGAACTGCTGTGTCCACGTCCTTATGTACTCCTACTATGCCGTGTGCGCTATGGGACCTGCCTATCAGAAGTACCTGTGGTGGAAGAAATACATGACTACCATCCAGCTGGTATGTTAATACTTCTAAAGTGTGCCGTGTTCATTAATCGTATTGAGGACAGTGCTTGACTTAGACTGAAATAGGTGCCGGTACTCATTTTGGGTGCCGGGACTGTTTTTATAGTTAAATGCAGGAGCTCCACAATACGTTTGAGCTAATATTCTATAACAGGAACAGGAGCTCAAGCAGTAGAACATTTGAGGTGCAGGTACTCTGCTGTGGTGAGCTCAAGCCCTGATTTAGGATTAACAATTTAAGAAACAAAGCTTGTTGAAACGTCCAAATTTGTACTTTAAAATGGTTTCCTTCAATGCTGCCCCCTTTAAGACCTGTACATCTGCATTGTAGTGGTTTAGTCACCATATAATGTAGTATCTTAATCATGTTTTCTATTTCTCTAGGTTCAGTTTGTGATGGTGACTGTCCACATTGGCCAGTTCGTCTTCATGAAGGACTGCCCCTACAAGTTCCCGGTCCTTCTCTACATTGTTGGTCTCTACGGGCTGATCTTCCTGGTTCTCTTCCTCAACTTCTGGTACCACGCATACACAAAGGGAAAGAGGCTGCCCAAGGTCACGCAGAACAGCAAGGCTCTCCAGAATGCCAACGGTGCTCACCATGCCAATGGGATTCACCATGCCAATGGGATTCACCATGGCAATGGGGTCGCCAAGGCGGCAACCAACGGCATCTCCTATGGCACAACCAACAGGGTCGCAAACGGCGTTCACCATGGCAACGTCGTTCACAAAAAGGAAGAGTAAACGCTGCAGCATCAGGTTTTAGTTGACGAGCTCCACTACCAAGTTACAGTGTATTTTACATCCAAGTGTCCTTTTTATACTTCCACCATTTCAGAGCGTAGTCCCTGTTTTTAATTGGTCCCAACTTTTATTTGGTGTGCTTACAACTTTGCTGTCTTATCACTGTTATTGAATAGAAACATATGTTCTGTTTGACTATAGGTGGTTGAGTATGTGCTGCGATATGGACATCACTTTTATTCAGAAATGTAGTTAAAGGGAACACTGTACATACCATTTTTTTTTCAGTTGTTACAACTGGAAATAGCTTTTGTGCTGCAATATAACGTGCCTGGGAACAGGCTTTTGAATATTGTTTTAAACAAGGCAATGATGCTTGAAATGTCTGGTGCAAACAGAGCATATGAATGGTCTTACAGAGCTGTTCTGGTAGAACCTGAAGCCCTGAAATCAGTGTCAAACATTTCAATGAATTGAGCTTTAGTCTTTTCATATGACAGTCAGCCCTTAAAGCTCAGATTTGTAGTAGGCGAAATGCACTGAAATGCTTTATGGCTTATAGTATGCCAAGGGATCATACTTGATGTCTTTTGTGTTTTAATGTTCACAATGTATATACGTTTGTCTTTTTTATGTTGCCGTTTCAAGGTAAAATGTACAGTAGGCTACGTGAAGACTGTCAAGGCTTTTTAGTGTTATTGAAGGAGCTGGCCAAAAATTGACATTTTCCTTTGTGCCCATGGTGAATGAGAACAAAACAATCTTGTCTGAATGAAAGCGATTATTTTACTACTGCAGTCAATAACAAATACTGTGTATTTTAAGCTACTCTATTGTAGCGAATTCGGGTGGGTGGCCCCGACCAGGACTCCAATCCGGGTCCCGCAACTGTCAAGCCAACACCTTAACCATTACGCCAAGAGGTCCAAACCTGTTGACGAGGTCGCTACAATATTGTACAAAAGAACAATCTGCTTTTTATGTTAAAATAAATTATTTTCACCTACATATATTGCCCACCTAATCTTTTACGTTTTTATATGGAAATATACTAGACTACACAATATTTTCTGCTATCTTAACTCGGGCAAGTTTAGTCGTCCGTGTCCGTAAATTGTTACCTTTTTACAAATACATTGCCAAGCAACAGTATGTGCTCTGCTACAAAAGTAGCAACTTTGTCCATATTTGGACATCGTATCATGTGACCGGGCTCTCTTGTCTCTGCTCCAATCGCATTGCTCAGATGTGACGCTCAAGATTCAAAGTTGGTCAGCGAGGCGTAGCTAGTCTAGCTTCTCATTGGCATGTTATGTTTTCAGCAGTAACGACAGTCTGCAATAATATTTGTAAAACCTCGCTTATGAAAGCTGTGCAACTTTTGTGTGTCTTATTAGACCAGAATGGAGGGCAAAATGATTGGACCGGGTCCGTACAGGGCAACAAAGTTGGTGAGTTTCTTTTACGTTCATTGGCAGTGCTGGTAATGCAATGTTTGCTAGCTAGTTTTGTGGTCATTTGCATAGCTAACGTTAATTTGCCAAATTACTTGTTGGTTATGTTGAAAGACATTTTTTTTTCTCTTTCCCCCCCCCCGTTTTAATCGGAGAAGATACTGTTTTTTGGCTAATGCTAACTAGGTATTGGGATGGCTCTTGGCTGGCTGGCTAGCTTTGAAGGAATGTTCCGGCGCTGTCCAGTGCAGTGGCAGTGCGCTCTGTCTGGCAAGGTTTCTCACCGTGGTAAAGTTTGTATCTTCGCCAGACAGTACTTCAGGTTAGGCTCTTTGTGAAGGAAAAAATGTGTAGAACTTTGCACAGGTCTTACTTTCCCGATTCCCCGACCGGAGTTTCATAATCACACGGCAAAGGTGTAGGCAGCCTGGCACACGGTCAATGCAACTAGTTAGGGACCGTCAACAAAGTACATGATCACAATATAAAAATGTCAATAACTTTAACCATGTTACTTAGCAACCTCATTTAAACTTTGTATTATACCTTCTATAGAGGCATGTTGCACATCCTTTAGATCGCTCCTAAAATTATTCCTACATTTTAAATGTACATTTATTAAAAATCACTTAAAATTCAATAACTCCTTGACCATGTGACCTAGACACCTCAACCCAACTTTGGAATGTTCACAGGGTAGGCAAACACATTGATCACCCTTTTGTTTTCCCAAAAAGCGCTTACATGATTTTATATAAATATTTGAAGCTTTAAAATGACAATAGCTCTTCAACAATGTGACTTAGCAACCTAATTTCAACTTTGTAGTATTCCTTATATAGAGGCATGTTGCACACCCTTTACTTCTCAAACGATTCCTACATTTTTAAAATATACAGTGCCTTCAATGTATTCATACCCCTTGACTTATTCCACATTTTGTTACATCATGGATTCAATTGATATTTTTTCTCACCCATCTACATACAATACCCCATAATGACAGTGTGAACATGTGTTTAGCAATTTTTGAAAATATATTAAATGAAATCTAGAAATCTCATTTACATAAGTAATCATACCCCTGAGTCAATACATGTTAGTATCACCTTTTGGCAGCAATTACAGCTGTGAATCTCTCTGGGTAACTCTCTAAGAGCTTTACACACCTGGATTGTACAATATTAGCAGATTATTTAAAAAATGTTTCATGCTCTGTCAAGTTGGTTGTGGATCATTGCTAGACAGCCATTTTACATTTACATTTTAGTCATTTAGCAGACGCTCTTATACAGTTAGTGAGTGCATACATTTTCATACTGGCCCCCCGTGGGAAACGAACCCACAACCCTGGCATTGCAAGCGCCATGCTCTACCAACTGAGCTACAGGGAACTTAGATTTTCAAGCCGGTTTACGTCAAAAACTGTAACTAGGCCACTCTGGAACATTCAATGTCGTCTTGGTAAGCAACTCCACTGTATATTTGGCCTTGTGTTTTAGGTTGTCCTGCTGAAAGGTGATTTTTGTCTCCCAGTGTCTGTTGGAAAGCAGACTGAACCAGGTTTTCCTCTAGGATTTTGCCTGTGCTTAGCTCTATTCAGTTTATTTTTATACAAAACAAACTCCCTTGCCGATGACAAGCATACCCATAACATGATGCAGCCACCACCATGCTTGAAAATATGAAGTGGTACTCAGTGATGTGTTGGATTTGCCCCAAACATAAAACTTTGTGTTCAGGACATAGTTAATTTCTTTGCTACATTTTTGCCAGTTTTACTTTAGTGCCTTATTGCAAACCGGATGCACGTTTTGGGAATATTTTTTTATCCTGTACAGACTTTCTCATTTTTAATTAATTTGTAAAAAAATTCCCAAAACATATTTACACTTTGACATTATGGGGTATTGTGGGTAGACAATTTTTTACATTTTAGTCATTTAGCAGACGCTCTTATCCAGAGCGACTTACAGTTAGTAGTGACACACTGAATTTAATCCATTTTAAATTCAGGCAGTAACACAAAATGTGGAAAAGTAAATGGGTGTGAATACTTTCTGAAGGCACTTACTTTCTGAAGGCACTGTATATTGAAAATAATCACTTGAAAATCCATAGCTCTTCGAACATGACGTAGGCACCTCAAACCAACTTTGTATTGTTGAAAGGGGAGGGATACATTGCACACCCTTTGGTTTTCCCAAAAAGCACTTGGACCAGTGTTTCCCAAACTTGGTCCTCGGGACCCCAAGGGGTTGCATGTTTTGGTTTTTGCCCTAGCACAACACAGCTGATTCAAATAATTAACTAATCATCAAGCTTTAATTTCTTTGAATGAGCTGTGTAGTGCTAGGCCAAAAAACAAAACGTGTACCCTTTTGGGGTCCTGAGGACCGAGTTTGGGGAAACACTGACTTAGACAATTTTAATATAAATATTTTAAACTTCAACCACGTGACTTAGCAACTTCACTGTCCGTTATTCCTTACATAGAGGCATGTTGCACATCCTTTGGTGTTCAGAAAAATAATTTCATTCAGTAGTTACATTTTTTACTTTAGACCAAGGATCTATGGAAATTTATAATTGAGCAGCCGGATTGCAGTGGGAATGAAGCAGCCCCTGCCTCAGTTGGTCATACATTTTGGTGTACGTACCGTATCTTAGACCAGAGGGCAGATTCTGGAAGAAACCACACTGATTGTGAATTGAGTCCCATGCTATTTGTGTTGCCTTTTTCCTTGCCTGTGTGAGCACTGCTGCTCTCAGACTGACTTCCTTCCTCAGCTTGATGTAACAGGTGGCATGTGCAATAGCTCCGCAGGATTGTGGGAACTACGTCGAGGCGCTTCAGTCTCCATAGCAGGTAAATGTAAAATGTACTGTGTTTTCAGGGGAAGTTGAGGCTTCTGTCTGTAATAGTCCCTAAGTAATTGAAACTGCTGAACCTCTCTACCTGTTCTCAATTGAGGGTCAGCTGAGGTAACGAAATCAGCCTTCTTTCTAAAGTGAAAGAGGACCTTTGCTTTGTTCACCCAGTGAGTTGCAAAGTTTCATATTTGTATTTTTTGTCTTATGTGAACGGTGTATTTCTTTAATAGAAGGCATTGCTTATTACTATCTATCACATTTTTATTATCAATTTGTTATGCGTCTTTTATTTCTTACTTTATTCCATGTTTCCTGAGGCATAGTCCTGGGCTCAGGTCCTCCGGCAAGGGAAACATAAGGAGAAACAGAGAGATGGAGGAGGATCAGTACACCAGATGGGCATGCTCTCTCAAATTCTCCTATCCTAAGATCACACAGTACACCAGATGGGCATGCTCTCTCAAATTCTCCTATCCTATCTGGTGTATGGTATGGTCTTAGGCATGCTTCCTCAAATTCTCCTATCCTAAGATCACACAGTACACCAGATGGGCATGCTCTCTCAAATTCTCCTATCCTATCTGGTGTATGGTATGGTCTTAGGCGTGCTTCCTCAAATTCTCCTATCCTAAGATTACACAGTACACCAGATAGGACAGACTGACCCTATCCCCCTGGCACATAGGCTATTGCAGCATAGATACTTGAGACTGAAACGGATGGGGGTTGAGCAACACTGGCCCTGTCCAAAATTACTCCCAGACAGGGCCAATCAGGCAGGATAAACATCAAAGCACAGCCCCCACACCACTCAAGGGAATTCAACAGACTACAAACTTACTACCCTGAGACAAGGCCGAGTATAGACCAGGAAGATATCCCCTACCGCACTAGCCCTAAGGGGGCGCAAAACCGGAAAGGAAGATCACGTCAGTGACTCAACCCACCCAAGGGAGTTGAGTGTAGCAAACAAAGCCTGGCATGACATGATGCACCTGCATAAGGAAGGCATGGGAGAGCGTGAACAAGCCAGTGACACGGCCTCCGTAATATGGTCAGAGGCAGAGAATCCCAAGAGAGAGTGGGGAGCCGGCCAGGCAGAGACGACAAGGGTGGTTCCTCTCGCCAGTGCCTTGCCGTTCACCTTCGCACCCCTGAGCCAGACTACACTCAATCATAGGACCTACAAAACAGATGAGTCTTCAGTAAAGACTTAAAGGTTGAGACTGAGTCTGCTTCTCACATGGATTGGCAGACCATTCCATAAAATAGGAGCTCTATAGGAGAAAGCCCTGTCTCCAGCTGTTTCCTTCAAAATTCTAGGGACAATAAGGAGGCCTGCGTCTTATGACCGTAGAGTACGTGTAGGTATGTACGGCAGGACCAAATCAGAGATAAGTAGAAGCAAGTCCATGCAATGCATTGTAGGTTAACAGTAAAACACGGAGATCAGCCTTAACATTTACATTTTAGTCATTTAGCAGACATTCTTATCCAGAGCGACTTACAGTTAGTGAGTGCATACATTTTCATACTATTAACAGGAAGCCAGCAGGCCAGCACTGGAGTAATATGATCACGTTTTGGTTCTAGTCAAAACATCTTGGGCTCCCGAGTGGCGCAGCGGTCTAAGGCACTGCATCTCAGTGCTTGAGGCGTCACTACAGACCCCCTGGTTCGATTCCAGGCTGTATCACAACCGGCCGTGATTGGGAGTCCCATAGGGCGGCGCACAATTGGCCCAGCGTCGTCCGGGTTTGGCCGGTGTAGGCCATTATTGTAAATAAGAATTTGTTCTTAACTGACTTGCCTAGTTAAATAAAGGTCCCCCCAAAAAAAGGGAGACTGGGTAATTATTGGAGGGTAACATAGGTGTCTGAAGAGATGGTTTGTGAGTCTGGTTTTAAATATGCAAATGGCGTGATGGATGTTACGAGTTTCAGAGTACTGCAGCTGAGCTGAAGGCACTGAAGACAAGGTCCCCAGTGGCCAGTAGTCTGGTGTTGGGGGTTATAAGGAAGCCGGAGTCAGATGAGTAGAGTGAGTGACGGGATTTAGATGTGCAGAATGTCAGAGAGGTAAGAAAGAGCCAGGACATGGAGAGATGTGTAGGTGCGCAATGTAGTTGGTGGAGAGTGGATGTTTTCCCAAGTTTTGGTGCGGAATAGGGAATTTTCCGGTTCCAGTGGTGTGAAATAAAAGATTGAAGGATAGAGTGAACGCGACTGTCTTTTAAAGGTTTAATAGCATTCAGACAATGTGCACAATGATGAGAAGTTGCATACAGTCTGCAAACGTATCTTACACTTCAGCCTGCAAACGTATCTTACACTTCAGCCTGCAGCCTTACTTTATTCTGTAATGTCAGGTAAGGACCCAGAGGAGGGGGAACACTATCTTTTGCCCTACCCCTGCCAGCCGATCAGAATGCCTGCAAACAGATTGAGCCATAACGGTAATACCAAAATGGTGTACCCTTCAGAGTGAGCACTGAAGCAACAGAATTGTGAATATATTGAAGAGGGTTGACAGAGGCTATAGAGATGAGCGTTGCAGTAGTCCAGGTAAGAGGTGACAATCTGATAAACTGTTCAACACAATACTATTCAGAATGCCCAAAACCTGGCGGTCCAACTTTGCCGAGCAGAAAGTATTTTTTTGTGAAACTGAGGGAGTCATGGCAGACTTGCTTTGTAGTATAAACCAAAGGGTGTGCGATGTGTGTCCCTACCCTGTGAATAATACAAACATTCCTAAGTTGGTTTAAGTTGCCTAGGTCTATTGAAATGTGATCAAGGAGCTATTGAAATTCAAAGTAAAAAAATGTAACTAATAAATTAAGATAAAATAAATTCAAAAAGAACATTGAAAACCAAAGGGTGTATGATGTGTCCCTACCCTTTGCACATTCCAAAGTTGGTTTGAGGTGTCTACATCACATATTAAAGGAACTGTTTAATTTTAAGTGATAAAAAAAAAAAAAAGATATATATATATATATATATATTTTTTTTAAATGAAGGAATCGTTTTATGAGAACTTAAGGGTGCGCAACATGCCTCTCTTTCTATATAAGGAATAATACTAAGTTGAAATAAGGTTGCTAAGTCACGTGGTTGAATATTTATTTAAATTGTAATCTTGTGATCATGCACTTTGTTGACGGTCCCTAACCAAATGCATTGTCATTTTCCATGTGATTATGAAACTCTGGTCAGAATCGGGAAAATAAGACCTGTGCAATGTTGTACAACTTTTTTTATTTTTTATGATAAAGAGCCTAACCTGAGATATGCAGCTCAAATCGTTCGCGAGCTATTTAAGTTTGAAGGTCCGAATGTCTGGCGAATCTCAAACCAACTTTACCACAGTAAGATACCCTCTGGCCAACAGCCATTGACTGCAGACTGTCATATTTGCATTGACATGTTTGACCACAGAATTAAATGGAACAACAAAATTGTATCTCTAACCCTAATTTCCAGATGGCAAGGAACCGTTTTGTGGAGATTACTTTAATTGCTGCCAGTCTAATAACCCGGACGACAGGAAATAACACTATAAAGAATGGTTTTGCTTCTAACTAGTAGTGGGAATTGACATGGTCACAGATTGATTTCAATTGTAGTCTAATGCCCATATTCTAAAAACCTGATAGATGAATTACCTAAAATATGCATTTCCTTGACTTGTTTGTCTAATTTCATCTACCATTTGTATAGTTTTTACACATGGTCTTGAAGATGTGCCATCATGAGTCTAAATCTCTGTCTAAATCCTGGTACATTATGGGCCATTTTTCCAGACTAAGATTAAGCCTAGTCATAGTGCTCAATGGAGAATCTCATTGAAATTGCCTTTTTAGTCCAGAACTAGGCTTAAACTGGCCCTAGACGTTAGAGACCTCCATCTAGGCAGAGTCACCACGCAGTTTTCTTTTGATGGGGAGCCATCTAGCCAGCTACAGTATATTACCATGATCTAGATCAGGGATGGGCAACTTTGATAGGGATGGGGGGCCACAAAGAAACGGAACTCATGATGAGGGGCCGCTGGGGGTCTGCGTACCCACATCCATACACCCCCCCCCCCCCCCCCCCCCTCCCCGCGAGCAAAACATTTTAGCGGCCCCCCTCGTGACAACAAAGAGGAAAAAAATATGTTTTAAAGTTAATTTCCTGCAATTCTACACATTTTGCATGGGGCTGTAGAGAAAAGGTTGCAGTTTTAAAACTAGTTTGCTGCAATTCTACTCATTTTGCCATGGTGTGGAGAGAAAATATACAGTGCATTCTGAAAGTATTCAGACTCCTTCCCCTTTTCCACATTTTGTTACGTTACAGCCTTATTTTAAATTGATTAAATAAATAAAAAATCTCAATCTACACACAATACCCCATAAGGACAAAGCGAAAATAGGTTTTTAGACATTTTTGCAAATGTATTAAAAATAACAACCAGAAATACCTTATTTACATAAGTATTCAGACCCTTTGCTATGAGACTCGAAATTGAGCTCAGGTGCATCCTGTTTCCATTGATCATCCTTGAGATGTTTCTACAACTTGATTGCAGTCCACCTGTGGTAAATTCAATTGATTGTACATTATTTGGGAAGGCACAATCCTATCTATATAAGGTCCCACAGTTGACAGTGCTTGTCAGAGCAAAAACCAAGCCATGAGCTCGAAGGAATTGTCTGCAGAGCTCCGAGACAGGATTGTGTCGAGGCACAGATCTGGGGAAGGGTACCAAAACATTTCTGCATCATTGAAGGTCCCCAAGAACAGTGGCCTCCATCATTCTTAAATGGAAGAAGTTTGGAACCACAAAGACTCTTCCTAGAGCTGGCCGCCCGGCCAAACTGAGCAATCGGGGGAGAAGGGCCTTGGTCAGGGAGGTGACCAAGAACCTGATGGTTACTTTGACAAAGCTCCAGAGTTTCTCTGTGGAGATGGTTGTCCTTCTGGAAGGTTATCCAATCTCTGCAGCACTCCACCAATCAGGCCTTTATGGTAGAGTGGCCAGACGGAAGCCACTCCTCAGTAAAAGGCACATGACAGCCTGCTTGGAGTTTGCCAAAAGGCACCTAAAGAACGCTGTCCATGAGAAACAAGATTCTCTGGTCTGATGAAACCAAGATTGAACTCTTTGGCCTGAATGCCAAGTGTCAGGTCTGGAGGAAACCTGGCACCATCCCTATGGTGAAGCATGGTGGTGGCAGCATCATGCTGTGGGGATGTTTTTCAGCGGTAGGGACTGGGAGACTAGTCAGGATGGAGGGAAAGATGAACGGAGCAAAGTACAGAGAGATCCTTGATGAAAACCTGCTCCAGAGCACTCAGGACCTCAGACTGGGGCGAAGGTTCACCTTCCAACAGGACAACAACCCTAAGCACACAGCCAAGACAATGCAGGAGTGGCTTCGGGACAAGTCTCTGAATGTCATTGAGTGGCCCAGCTAGAGCCCGGACTTGAACCCGATTTGAATATCTCTGGAGAGACCTGAAAATAGCTGTGCAGCGACGCTCCCAATCCAACCTGACAGAGCTTGAGAGGATCTGCAGAGAAGAATGGGAGAAACTCCCCAAATACAGGTGTGCCAAGCTTGTAGCGTCATACCCAAGAAGACTCAAGGCTGTAATCGCTGCAAAAGGTGCTTCAACAAAGTACTGAGTAAAGTACTGAGTAAAGGGTCTGAATAATTATGTAAATGTGATATACTTTTAATTTTTTTATTATAAATTAGCACATGCTTTGTCATTATTAGGTATTGTGTGTAGTTTGATGGAACAAAAACTATTTAATCAATTTTAGAATAAGGCTGTAACGTAACAAAATGTAGAAAAAGTCAAGGGGTCTGAATACTTTCCGAATGCACTGTAGCAGTTTACAGCTAATTTCCTGCAACTCTACACATTTTGCCATAGGGTGGAAGCAAATGTTTGCCATTTTTAATATGATAATTGATGATCAATGGGCCCCACCTCGGTCGGAAATTCAACCATGCTTACTACAAGTTTAGATAGCTGGCCGCTAGACTAACTAATCAATCTAAAAATGTTTAGCTGACATGGGCTAATTGAGTGACTGCTGAGGCACAACCACATTTCTAAATTGCACCTTGTGTATTCTATTATTCTAACTCTCAACTGTAACCCCAACTGAGTTAAAAAAAAAAATATATTAATTGTTTTTTTGCCACGGGCCACCAGTTGCCCATCCCTTGTCTGTCTGTCTCTAGCTGCTTTATGTATAAAACTGAGGAGTATGTGCTCCCTAAGCTTCAATGGGCATGATGCCCCTGCATGTAGCTAGGTATGCATTTAGTTTGTTATTTAGGCCTACAGTGAGGGGAAAAAAGTATTTGATCCCCTGCTGATTTTGTACGTTTGCCCACTGACAAAGAAATGATCAGTCTATAATTTTAATGGTAGGTTTATTTGAACAGTGAGAGACAGAATAACAACAAAACAATCCAGAAAAACGCATGTCAAAAATGTTATAAATTTATTTGCATTTTAATGAGGGAAATAAGTATTTGACCCCCTCTCAATCAGAAAGATTTCTGGCTCCCAGGTGTCTTTTATACAGGTAATGAGCTGAGATTAGGAGCACACTCTTAAAGGGAGTGCTCCTAATCTCAGCTTGTTACCTGTATAAAAGACACCTGTCCACAGAAGCAATCAATCAATCAGATTCCAAACTCTCCACCATGGCCAAAACCAAAGAGCTCTCCAAGGATGTCAGGGACAAGATTGTAGACCTACACAAGGCTGGAATGGGCTACAAGACCATCGCCAAGCAGCTTGGTGAGAAGGTGACAACAGTTGTCAATCTCCCTTGGCCTGGGGCTCCATGCAAGATCTCACCTCGTGGAGTTCCAATGATCATGAGAACGGTGAGGAATCAGCCCAGAACTACACGGGAGGATCTTGTCAATGATCTCAAGGCAGCTGGGACCATAGTCACCAAGAAAACAATTGGTAACACACTACGCCGTGAAGGACTGAAATCCTGCAGCGCCCGCAAGGTCCCCCTGCTCAAGAAAGCACATATACAGGCCCGTCTGAAGTTTGCCAATGAACATCTGAATGATTCAGAGGAGAACTGGGTGAAAGTGTTGTGGTCAGATGAGACCAAAATCGAGCTCTTTGGCATCAACTCAACTCGCCGTGTTTGGAGGAGGAGGAATGCTGCCTATGACCGCAAGAACACCATCCCCACCGTCAAACATGTAGGTGGAAACATTGTGCTTTGGGGGTGTTTTTCTGCTAAGGGGACAGGACAACTTCACCACATCAAAGGGACGATGTACTGGGCCATGTACCGTCAAATCTTGGGTGAGAACCTCCTTCCCTCAGCCAGGGCATTGAAAATGGGTCGTGGATGGGTATTCCAGCATGACAATGACCCAAAACACACGGCCAAGGCAACAAAGGAGTGGCTCAAGAAGAAGCACATTAAGGTCCTGGAGTGGCCTAGACAGTCTCCAGACCTTAATCCCATAGAAAATCTGTGGAGGGAGCTGAAGGTTCGAGTTGCCAAACGTCAGGCTCGAAACCTTAATGACTTGGAGAAGATCTGCAAAGAGGAGTGGGACAAAATCCCTCCTGAGATGTGTGCAAACCTGGTGGCCAACTACAAGAAACGTCTGACCTCTGTGATTGCCAACAAGGGTTTTGCAACCAAGTACTAAGTCATGTTTTGCAGAGGGGTCAAATACTTATTTCCCTCATTAAAATGCAAATCAATTTATAACATATTTGACATGCGTTTTTCTGGATTTTTTTGTTGTTATTCTGTCTCTCACTGTTCAAATAAACCTACCATTAAAATTATAGACTGATCATGTCTTTGTCAGTGGGCAAACGTACAAAATCAGCAGGGGATCAAATACTTTTTTCCCTCACTGTATATTTGACATGCCCCATGTAAAGTAGAGATTGTGGTATAAATGGTGGTCTTACAGGCTAGGCTGTAAGTCTGTAACTCCTCACCACAGCACATAATTAACACTTTACTAAATATGTGTTAAATAAACTCTTGAATGCATCTGTCCTGCAGTGGAATGAAACTATCAAGCTCTTCCGAGGAGGCATGCCACTGAAAAGACACTGGGCATACTTCCGTAGCTATGACAACAGCTTCACTGGATCCGAGGCTGTTGATTGGCTACATGAGCTGCTGAAGCGGAACCATAACTTTGGGCCGGAGGTGACCCGGTACCAGACCCTACAACTGCTCAGGAAATTCATGAAGAACCACGTCATTGAGGATGTTAAGGGCCGTTATGGGAAGGAAGACTTTGAGGACAGTGGTCAAGTCTACAGGTGATGATGATGTCGTCCTGTTATTGGGCTGTATTGCCTGTCATGGAACTAAGGTGTCATGGCAGACTACTTTGCTGCACATTTACATTTTACATTTTGGTACTTTAGCAGATGTTCTTATCCAGAGCCACTTACAGGAGCAATTAGGTGCCTTGCTCAAGGCCACATCGACAGATTATACAGTGGGGAGAACAAGTATTTGATACACTGCCGATTTTGCAGGTTTTCCTACTTACAAAGCATGTAGAGGTCTGTCATTTTTATCATAGGTACACTTCAACTGTGAGAGACGGAATCTAAAACAAAAATCCAGAAAATCACATTGTATGATTTTTAAGTAATTAATTTGCATTTTATTGCATGACATAAGTATTTGATCACCTACCAACCAGTAAGAATTCCGGCTCTCACAGACCTGTTAGTTTTTCTTTAAGAAGCCCTCCTGTTCTCCACTCATTACCTGTATTAACTGCACATGTTTGAACTCGTTACCTGTATAAAAGACACCTGTCCACACACTCAATCAAACGGATCAGCCCAGAACTACACAGCAGGACCTGGTCAATGACCTGAAGAGAGCTGGGACCACAGTCTCAAAGAAAACCATTAGTAACACACTATGCCGTCATGGATTAAAATCCTGCAGCGCACGCAAGTTCCCCCTGCTCAAGCCAGCGCATGTCCAGGCCCGTCTGAAGTTTGCCAATGACCATCTGGATGATCCAGAGGAGGAATGGGACAAGGTCATGTGGTCTGATGAGAGAAAAATATAGCTTTTTGGTCTAAACTCCACTTGCCGTGTTTGGAGGAAAAAGAAGGATGAGTACAACCCCAAGAACACCATTCCAACCGTGAAGCATGGAGGTGGAAACATCATTCTTTGGGGATGCTTTTCTGCAAAGGGGACAGGACGACTGCACCGTATTGAGGGGAGGATGAATGGGGACATGTATCGTGAGATCTTGGCCAACAACCTCCTTCTCTCAGTAAGAGCATTGAAGATGGGTCGTGGTGGGTCTTCCAGCATGACAACGACCCGAAACACACAGCCAGGGCAACTAAGGAGTGGCTCCGTAAGAAGCATCTCAAGGTCCTGGAGTGGCCTAGCCAGTCTCCAGACCTGAACCCAATAGAAAATCTTTGGAGGGAGCTGAAAGTCTGTATTGCCCAGCGACTGCCCTGAAACCTGAAGGATCTGGAGAAGGTCTGTATGGAGGAGTGGGCCAAAATCCCTGCTGCAGTGTGTGCGAACCTGGTCAAGACCTACAGGAAACGTATGATCTCTGTAATTGCAAACAAAGGTTTCTGTACCAAATATTAAGTTCTGCTTTTCTGATGTATCAAATACTTATGTCATGCAATAAAATGCAAATTAATTACTTAAAAATCATACAATGTGATTTTCTGGATTTTTGTTTTAGATTCCGTCTCTCACAGTTGAAGTGTACCTATGATAAAAGTTACAGACCGCTACATGCTTTGTAAGTAGGAAAACCTGCAAAATCGGCAGTGTATCAAATACTTGTTCTCCCCACTGTATATATTTTTTCACCTAGTCGGCTTACTGGTCCAACGCTCTAAACCACTAGGCTACCTATGAGAGAAGTAGGCAGGCAAAGTAATGTGTCAAAAAAGGCCAATGCACACATGACATGCAATGACCCTGTCTGCTTTAATGTGGTCTAAGGAGATATTGAGCTGTCTAGATGTGGTCCTCTGTAGCTCAGCTGGTAGAGCACGGCGCTTGTAACGCCAAGGTAGTGGGTTCGATCCCCGGGACCACCCATACACACAAAAAGAAAAATGTATGCACGCATGACTGTAAGTCGCTTTGGATAAAAGCGTCTGCTAAATGGCATATTATTATTATTATTATTATTATTATTATTATTATTATTAGATAAAGAAATCTGAAGGCCTGTTGTCCTTAAAAGTACATGAATGCGTGGAAGGGCTGCCGGTCAGAGTGGTCTGTCCTCATCTGTTCATACCCCTGACTTCTCTTCTCTGTGACCCTAGGTTTCCGCCTACATCCCCCCTGAAGCCCCTGCCTCAGCGGCCCCCAGTGTCAGAGAACTGCGACCTGCCCCGGCTCATCCGCTGGGACGACTACGAGGAACTGCCCCAGCCAGAGAAGATCCCCATGAAGCCTCTGGTCCTGGTGAGAGAAACAGAGAGAGGCCAGGGGCCAGGGGCCAGGGGCTAGGGGCTAGGGGCTAGGGGCTAGGGGCCAGGGGCTAGGGTCTAGGGGCTAGGGGCTAGGGGCCAGGGGCTAGGGGCCAGGGGCTAGGGGCCAGGGGCCAGGGGCCAGGGCCAGGGGCCAGGGGCCAGGGGCCAGGGGCCAGGGGCTAGGGGCCAGGGGCCAGGGGCTAGGGGCCAGGGGCTAGGGGCTAGAGGCTAGGGGCTAGTACAGCTGTTTATCTTTCCAGTTAGCTGTTGCTGTTTTCACTGACCTTTTTTATGGTTGTTGAATTTTAGAGATGGCACAACGATACGTAATGTAATAATTATTATTACACGCACACACTCTCTTAGAAACTGGGGAAACATGTTAAAATGTTATTCTAATAATAATAATATAATATATGCCATTTAGCAGACACTTTTATCCAAAGTGACTTAGTTATGTGTGCATACTTTTTTCGTATTGGTGGACCCAGCCGGACCAATACACAGTATTGTAGGGTTCCATGAGTGTCATAGCTTTCTATGTTTTGATTTTCCTCAGAACTCAGAGATGTGGAACAAGAGACACAGCATAGCCATCGGAGAGGTGCACGAGTGCAAGATCATACGCAGGAGTGACATCACCCCCAAGCAAGTCGACCAAATCTGGAAGTCAATGACAATCGCACAGTACGTAGCTAGCTGTCCACCACATACCATCAATGGACTTGTGCTTGTTGGTCAACACTGTGTGTGTCACTGCTTTTCCTTTTACAACTGTTGAATACTACGTTCTGTTCTAGTTTGCAGAGAGTGCTCGGTCTGAAGACAATGGATGGAGTGTTGGATCCCAAACGCGTGAATGCGAAGCATATCATTCACAATGTATTCAGTGTCAACAAAACAGGAATAGTCATTCTGAAGAACAAAGCGGGTATGCAACTTTTGCAGTCATTCTGTAACATTGCTCATGGCCATTCTCTACCGTATAAGATTAATAACTAAACATACAAAATAAAAAAAAAAGCCTAACTTTTTCCTATATTTGCTCATGTTTTGCATTACCAGAGGACATGCCCTATTGGGTTTTATCAGCAATGAAGTGCCTAGCCAACTGTGAGTAAAGCTATACTGATGATAATCCTCTCCTCTTACCCTTAGACATCTGCTTTGGGTTCACCCTTGTTACTAATTGGCTGCAGTATGGAGAGTTTGTACTCTTACCAATACAGCAAGACCCAACAGACAATTGTCTTTACTATTTCCTTGAACATCTGCTCATGTTTGCTTTGGGTCTTCCTGTTTTGTACATAAAGTTAGGCTTGAATCGCTCTCTTCTTTAGGGCCCAACGGTAGGGAGACCAAGCAGCCCATGTACCCAGGCTTTGAGCGTGACGTGCTGCGGACGGTGGCTGAGTACTTCCAGAGACTCAAAGAGCCCCTGTTGACCTTCCAGCTCTATGAAGTCTTTGTCAACATTCTCAGTGAGTAATGTGTCAACTAACAACAACAATACTAGAAAACACCACTACTCCTGAAGAGGAAGCACTGCATTATTTCTGTTATTAGATCTATGGCCACTTTGTGAGGTAGAAGAGGAACTGCTTTGGCTGTTATTTGGCAAACTGTGAACACTTCAGGCCCGCACAGAACTTTTACTGAAGCCTTTTCTTACCGTATTTCAACTGGGCAAACAACCTGTGGACCATTGGGTTGTAATCAACTGTCCAACAAAATCTGATCCGAAACACATGAGAGACGGATAGACGCAATGCCAGGGAAGGTCCTGTGTACCTCAAGCCATCTCTTCCCCCAGGTCTGCTGCAGCAGAAAGAAGTGGCAGCGGAGGCCCTCCAGGTGTGCAGCCTCCTGCTGCCCCCGGCCAACCGCCGCAGACTCCAGCTGCTCCTCCGCCTCATGGCCAGGGTCTGCCAGAACCCCGCCCTTCCCCCGCTTAACGACGCCATAGCAACACGCACCCTGGTACAAACGTCTTTCCATCTTAACTGTTGTTATGGAGGGCTTGCATTTTATATGGATTTTCCCACTAGGTTTCAAAGCGCTTCATAGTAAGTGACTGTATTTTTCTGTTTTCCCTCCCCGCTCGTTGTTCATGGTCAGATGGTGCAGACATTCTCGCGCTGCATCCTGGGCTCTGCAGAGGAGGTGGACCTGGACGAGCTCCTGGCCACCAAGCTGGTCACCTTCATGATGGAGCACCACGAAAGTGTCCTCAGGGTGCCGTCTAGCCTGCACAGACACGTGGAAGATCACCTCTCCCACCTCAGGAGGGTACAGGTCTGCCCAACGCTGTCATAGCATACTGTTTACAAACCCAGAGAAAGTACACTGACAGCCTGTCTTGGGTCGTGTTCATTAGGGCACGCAATGGAAAATGAAAATTAGCGTTTCTCATGGGACAAATCCAGATCATTCCTCTGTTTTATTCCCCGTTTTCCATTTGGTGCCTAATGAACACGACCCTGGTCAAATCGTGTACGTTTATATGTGAAAGGGTGTGCTTTCGTTTCACCCTTGGTGAGGTAGCAATTGTTTGATTTCTCAAGCTGTGTCAATATACTGAGTTCAAATGCGACTGATAATTGAATAACCATTATATAATGTCATAACTCATCATACTATGATCACTTTGATATATTTACGTTTACCTACCAGTTGCATCAACTCAATCTCTATGGATTTTGATTGAACATGGGGGATTCTTAACAGCCTCTCCCTCTATCAACCCCAGAACAATAAGTATTTTTAAACTCTCTTTCTCTACCCCCAGATAAAGTATGCAGGTGCAGATACAGACGCCTCCCTGGCGTCTCCGTCGTACTGCAGGCAGATCAGCAGGGCAGAGTTTGAGGAGCAGAGGGTCTCCAGCTCCCAGGGGCCCATGCAGGAGCTGCTGGAGGGCCTCATCGCAGACACTGAGCTCTCAGCCAAGGACAAGAGGAAGAGACTCAAGCAGGTACACTCAAAGAAGAGCTCTTTCCCTATATTAACTTTGCTAGGGCAGGATTGATAGAACTCCAGCCTACTGGCGCTCTCTGTAAACTAATCATCTTACCGTTCCTCAGTTCCAGAAGTCCTATCCGGAGATCTACCGCAGGCGGTTCCCAACAGCGGAGAGCAAGGCTGCCGTCCTACCAGAGAAAGCTCCACGGCTCAAACCCCAGCTCATGCTCCTAACCCTGAAGAAACCCTTCCAGCCTTTCCAGAGGAGCTGGAGCTTTAGGGCCTAAACTCTCACCTCTGACTCTGCACGTCTGACCACTACAGTGTGGCCAGGAGACATGGGTGTTGGAGTGTTTGGAGCATGTTCCACAGCAGGTCAATGAGAATAGAATTCACAGGGGTAAAGTGGCAATGGATGGAATAGTGTTGCCAATTTGACTTACTATAGTAGAAACTACTGTTAAACTAAGAAGAGAAGGATGCTAGGAATCCATAAAGGGCAGCTTGTGTTAGCCAACATTTAAACAGTGAATGGAAATGATCATGCATAACATAGGTCTATAGAATTGGTCACTACGGGTAGAATTACTCATTTGTGTGCCATGTTTTTTAAATATTATTTTTGTTGTATTTTGTATTTTATTTTTTCTCCCCAATTTCAATCTTGTCTCATCGCTGCAACTCCCCAACGGGCTCGGGAGGCGAAGGTTGAGTCATGCGTCCCCCGAAACATGACCCGCCAAACCGCGCTTCTTAACACCTGCCCGCTAAACCAGGAAGCCAGCCGCACCAATCTGTCGAAGGAAACACCGTTCAGCTGACGCCGGCAGGCGCCCGGCCCGCCATAAGGAGTCGCTAGAGCCCAATGAGCCAAGTAAAGCCCGCCCGGCCAAACCCTCCCCTAACCCGGACGACGCTGGGCCAAACCCTCCCCTAACCCGGACAACCCTGGGCCAAACCCTCCCCTAACCCGGACAACCCTGGGCCAAACCCTCCCCTAACCCGGACGACGCTGGGCCAAACCCTCCCCTAACCCGGACGACGCTGGGCCAAACCCTCCCCTAACCCGGACAACCCTGGGCCAAACCCTCCCCTAACCCGGACGACGCTGGGCCAAACCCTCCCCTAACCCGGACAACCCTGGGCCAAACCCTCCCCTAACCCGGACGACGCTGGGCCAAACCCTCCCCTAACCCGGACGACGCTGGGCCAAACCCTCCCCTAACCCGAACGACGCCGGGCAAATTGTGTGCTGCCTTATGGGACTCCCGATCACGGCCAGTTGTGATACAGCCCGGGATCGAACCCGGGTCTGTAGTGACGCTTCTAGCACCGAAATGCAGTGCCTTAGACCGCTGCGCCACTCGGGGGGCCCATGTCTTTTCTGCTAAATTCATGGTCCACCAAGAGAACACTGATAAAAAAAATAAAATAATCTAATGCATTTCAATTGGCCATTTACAGTGAGTTCCAAAAGTATTGGGATGGTGACCATTTCTGTTGTTGTTTTGGCTCTGTACTCCATCACTTTGGATTTGAAATGATACAATGACTATGGGGTTAAAGTGCAGACCTCTGCTTTAATTTGAGGGTATTTTCATCCATATCGGGTGAACCTTTTAGAAATACAGAACTTTTTGTTCAGTCTCCCCATTTTAGGGATCCAAAAGTATTGGGGCAAATTCACTTGTGTATTAAAGTAGTCAAAGGTTTAGTGTTTGGTCCCATATTCATAGCACGCAATGACTATATCAAGCTTGTGACTCAACACATTTGTTGAATGCATTTGCTGTTTGTTTTGGTTGTGTTTCAGATTATTTTGTGCCCAATAGAAATGAATGGTAAATAATGTATTGTCATTTTGGAGTCACTTTTATTGTAAATAGTAAGCATAGAATATGTTTCTAAACACTTCTACATTAAAGTGGATGCCACCATGATTACGGATAGTCCTGAATGAATCGTGAATAATAATGATGAGTGAGAAATTTAAAAGAACAAATATCATACCCCCAGAAATGCTAACCTCCCCTATTGTAATGGTGAGAGGTTAGCATGTCTTGGGGGTATGATGTTTGTTCTTTTAACTTTCTCACTCATCATTATTCAAGATTTAATTCAGGATTATCTGTAATCATGGTAGCATCCACATTAATGTAGAAGTGTTTAGAAACATATTCTTACTTACAATAACAGTGACTCAAATGACACAATACATTATTTACCATTCATTTCTATTGGGTTCAAAATAATCTGAAACACAACCAAAACAAACAGCAAATTGCACACAACAAGATTGTAGAGTCACAAGCTTGATGTAGTCATTGCGTGCTATTAATATGGGACCAAATACTAAACTTTTTACTACTTTAATACACAAGTGAATTTATCCCAATACTTTTGGTCCCCTAAAATGGGGGGACTAGGTACAAAAAGTGCTGTTATTTCTAAACGGTTCCCCCAAATATGGATGAAAACAACAACAAATGTGTCACTGTCCCAATACTTCTGGAGCTCACTATATGTCCCTGTTAATATTATTTGGTGAGAGTGGTCTTTCACAGAACACATATGGTACAGAAGGGCTGGAAGAGTCCTTTCCTTCAATATAGCACTGGTCTATGGAATTGTCAGGCATCTCTGATCCTTCACTTAATTTGATTAGAGCAATTCATAATCATTTTGTTTACTACAAGGCCTTCAGGAAACACACCCCAGTTTGCTTTGGGGTGCATCGAGTCATTTCATAAGACAAATGTGTTGTTTTTAAATTGAATCGTCATGGTACTGTATTTCAGTAATGGAAAATGTTATTTTAAGTTCTATATAATTTTTGATAACTATATAAACTACGTTGATCAGCATTGTCTTACATCTGTTTTTCTAATCACACTGGAGAACTAGAAACCGTCATTAAGAATATTGCTCAAGAGCTCACTGAAGTGCCAGTTGTATATTTGTTGGAATGTTAGTAATTTCTATATAGTTATAAGAAATGATTTCTTACACAGTATGTCCTTTACTGTAACAAGCATGTTTGTCTTTCCATTTTGTTTATTTCCTGTCACTTTTTATGTCTTACTACTGTACCTACTTTCTCTAGATGACATCTGTAGCTCAGCTGGTAGAGCACTTTGGTCTTCTGTAGCTCAGCTGGTAGAGCACTGTGGTCCTCTGTAGCTCAGCTGGTAGAGCACTGTGGTCCTCTGTAGCTCAGCTGGTAGAGCAATGTGGTCCTCTGTAGCTCAGCTGGTAGAGCACTGTGGTCCTCTGTAGCTCAGCTGGTAGAGCACTGTGGTCCTCTGTAGCTCAGCTGGTAGAGCACTGTGGTCCTCTGTAGCTCAGCTGGTAGAGCACTGTGGTCCTCTGTAGCTCAGCTGGTAGAGCACTGTGGTCCTCTGTAGCTCAGCTGGTAGAGCACTGTGGTCCTCTGTAGCTCAGCTGGTAGAGCACTGTGGTCCTCTGTAGCTCAGCTGGTAGAGCACGGCGCTTGTAACGCCAGGGTAGTGGGTTCGATCCCCGGGACCACCCATACACAGAAATGTATGCACGCATGACTGTAAATCGCTTTGGATAAAAGCGTCTGCTAAATGGCATATTATATATTATTATTATTATTACATCACTTAAGCTGTCATCACCTCTTTATTTCTTTATTTGAGAGATGTTTAATCATAAAAAATGTAGCACTGGATCATTTTATACTGATTTATATCACTACAAGTATTTTTGGCTGAAAATGTTAGTGGATAGATGGAAGAATGCTGGAAATTTGACTGTTACACACTTACTGTAGGTAAGTGGCTGATCTTGCATTTTTGCTGGAATAAGGAAAACGGATTAATACAAGAAATGTAAAAGAATGTGTCTCATCGACTCTTTCTTGTGTGTATGAAATCTAAACTTTTTGCGTGGAGTGGTCCATTCAACAAAAAACATGCTGTTGAGGACAGGAAACATTTTAAGATGGAATCAAACCACATTTTTATTGTACTGTGCCTAAAGGCTCTCCAAACCTGTTTTTCAATTAAGTAGGTAGGATTCATGAGTACCTTCCTATACCATAAATATTTGACTAAATCAGAGTTTCCTAATTCTACACACTGGTGCTGAAATGGAGACCATGTTTATGTATTCCCATAATATTTTTTATGCGTTCTTCATACATTCCAGTGTTTTAAGTAAATTCACAAGTGAACAGAAAACCAAATTGAATAAAAACTCCATGAGCAAATCTGTCGGCCTCCCAGTGGGTGAGTTTTTGGGGGTAGAATTAAATGTAGTCATTGCGTACAAGAGCCACACCCAACGAGCTTGTTGCGTGCCTGCATTAGAGAAGCTTGAGTACCAAAAACTGAACAATCAAAACACATAGGAAACATACAGTGGGGGAAAAAAGTATTTAGTCAGCCACCAATTGTGCAAGTTCTCCCACTTAAAAAGATGAGAGAGGCCTGTAATTTTCATCATAGGTACACGTCAACTATGACAAACAAATAGAGGAAAAAAAATCAAGAAAATCACATTGTAGGATTTTTAATGAATTTATTTGCAAATTATGGTGGAAAATAAGTATTTGGTCACCTACAAACAAGCAAGATTTCTGGCTCTCACAGACCTGTAACTTCTTCTTTAAGAGGCTCCTCTGTCCTCCACTCGTTATCTGTATTAATGGCACCTGTTTGAACTTGTTATCAGTATAAAAGACACCTGTCCACAACCTCAAACAGTCACACTCCAAACTCCACTATGGCCAAGACCAAAGATCTGTCAAAGGACACCAGAAACAAAATTGTAGACCTGCACCAGGCTGGGAAGACTGAATCTGCAATAGGTAAGCAGCTTGGTTTGAAGAAATCAACTGTGGGAGCAATTATTAGGAAATGGAAGACATACCACTGATAATCTCCCTCGATCTGGGGCTCCACGCAAGATCTCACCCTGTGGGGTCAAAATGATCACAAGAACCACCCGGGGGGACCTAGTGAATGACCTGCAGAGAGCTGGGACCAAAGTAACAAAGCCTACCATCAGTAACACACTACGCCGCCAGGGACTCAAATCCTGCAGTGCCAGACGTGTCCCCCTGCTTAAGCCAGTACATGTCTAGGCCCGTCTGAAGTTTGCTATAGTGCATGTGGATGATCCAGAAGAGGATTGGGAGAATGTCATATGGTCAGATGAAACCAAAATATAACTTTTTGGTAAAAACTCAACTCGTCGTGTTTGGAGGACAAAGAATGCTGAATTGCATCCAAAGAACACCATACCTACTGTGAAGCATGGG